GACTAATTTTTAGTCACAAGGAAGATTGCGAGGGCATATTCAAAAAATAGAATGGGGGTCATAACTTGAGAATGTAACAAAAATAAAATGAAATGCAAGCAAAATCCTTCCAGATGGGGTGTGAAGTGTTTGGTGGAACGAAGGGATGATTGACAAGATGTTGCAAGTAGACTCATGCAAACTACTATGGGTTGCAATAAGGTCAAATAAAGGCAATTTGAAGAAATGACACAAGAATGCAAGTATGGGCAATATATTTTCATAGTATTGTTTGGGGAAATGAAGCATTCGGAAATCCAACATAGATGCTGCCCTAAAGGCTCTCCTGTCATGGTTGCAAATGCAACAAGACTCAACTAAACAAAACAAAACGTACAATTCGCAAACAAAATTGTCTTCCTGCTGTTTTTCGGTCAGAGCTGAAGCCAATTTTGAAAGATTATCAAAAAGAGAGATCCTTCTAAGCGGTTGTTTAAAAAGGGTTAGACATCAGAATCAAAAATGAGTCCTCTTAAATAATGTTTTGTGGTCAAAGTGCCCAAAACGTGTTTCTGTGGAAAAGCGAATAACTTGATGCTGCAATGCTGCAGCATCAGTTTATCCAGTGGATTACCAGGGAGCTGCTGGTGCTGGTTGTGTTTTTGGAGGAGATGTGGGATCGAACCATTTTTGGTGTGCATACAGCAGCGGCTTTCCGTGCCTTAATGATACCAGAAATAAAAGAATGCTGGAAAATCAGTCTCGTAGTTCATTACGCTGACCGGCGGCGCCTTCTAAGAAAAGCTAAGCAAGAATGGGAAAAAAGGCCTGGAGGCATTATATGTCTGGAGGGTTCCAGTACCCATATAAGTGCCAAGATGTAATTCCTCAAGAAAGACAGATGAAGACAAAAGAGGCTCAAATTACATTTGTTGCTGAAGCAAACATCGATGTATGTTTACATCAGAACCACCTACGGAAGGCGTTTACGTTTGAAGAAAAACTACGTTACTTACTTTTTGGATATTTTCCTGGGCTGAAATCTTGTAGATTATCTAGCATCAAAGAAACTCAGTTAGGTCTATATACCTAACTTTTCCACTAACCGAAATCAATGTATTTGACTGTTATGCTATTTCTAGCTCTTAAAACGATGAAGTAAAACATTAAATTAGATTTTTTCCTCTGCTCATCCTACAAAGCATCTTGAAAGGTACTTATAGACAAAATTTCAGCGTTCTGCCTAATAGGATAAGGAAATGAGGCTTTCTCAAAGTTCGAAAAGTAAAAAAGCGGAAAATCTAATTTAAAGTTTTACTTCATCGTTTTAAGAGCTAGAAATAGCATAACAGGTCAAATACATGATTCTAGTGAAAAGTTAGGTATTCTGACCTACTGAGTTCTTGATGCTTAGTAATCTATCCAAGATTTAGCCAGAAAATTATCCAAAAAGTAGTAACGTAAGTTTTCTTCAACGTAAACGCTTCCGTGGTGGTTCTGATGTAAACATTACATCAATGTTTTCTTCAGCAACAAATGTTATTTGAGGCTCTTTTGGTTCTTCTCTGTCTTTCTTGAGAATTACATCTGGCACTTTATGGGTACTGAACCCTCCAGACATATAATGCCTTCCAGCCTTTGTTCCCATCTTCTTAGCTTTTCTTAGAAGGCGCCGCCGGTTCAGGTATGAACTACGAGACTGATTTCCAGCATTCTTTATTCTGGTATCATTTAAGGCACGAAAGCCTCTTGCTGTATGCACACCAAAATGTTCTATCCCCATCTCCTCCAAAACACAACCAGCACCAGCAGCTCCCTGGTTCCACTGGATAACTGATGCTGCAGCTGCAGCATCAAGTTTACGCTTCCCACAGAAAACACGTTTTGGGCACTTTGACCACAAAACATTATTAAGAGACTCATTTTGATTCTGAGTTAACCCTTTTAAACAACGCTTTAGAAGGTCTTCTTTTGATAATCTTTCAAAAATTGGCTTCAGCTCTGACCGAAAAACAGCAGGAAGACATTTGTTTCGATTGTACGTTTTGGTTTTGTTTAGTTGGTCTTGTTGCCATTTGCACCATGACAGAGAGCCTTTAGGGCAAAATCTATGTTGGATTTCCAATGCTTCATTTTCCCCAACAATACTATGAAAATATATTGCCCATACTGCATCTTGTGTCATCTTCAAATTGCCTTTATTTGACCTTATTGCATACCCATAGTAGTTTTGCAATGAGTCTATTGCAACATCTGTCAATCTCCCTCGTCCACCAACACTCACACCATCTGGAAGTTTGCTTGCTTTCATTTTATTTTTGTACATTCTCAAGTTTGACCCCATTCTTTTTTGAATATGCCCAATGCAATCTTCCTTGGTGACTAAATAGTCACTGCCATATTTTTTAAAGCAAGCATCTGCTACCTCACCAAAAGACGAAGAATCACCATCTCCAACATATGTTACATATTTCAACTTATGTTTCTCTATAGACCGAAGGAACATTGTCACTGCTGCACTTTTCTCCATTGCCTCTGATGATTTGTTGTGGTTGATACAACATTTATCCTGATGCTTCGCAAACCAATCTTTATACCTTTGAGAATCTTTGTCCCAGTTTCCTTTTGATCTACATTCGAAACAAATTTTTGACTTCACTTCCAAATCTAGCACCTCCCCTGTCTCAACTGCCAAAACAAAGACAACACCAAGTAAAGATGAATGACCATATCGTTTTTGCCATGTCCCATCTACAGAGACACTGACTGGAAATACATCATCCTCAATGTCTAGGTCTTCATGTGAAGGAGACATCTTTTTCAAAGCTCTTTTCAAATTTTTGGCAGCTTTCTCTAAGGATTTTTCTACAACAGTACTGTAGCACTGCTCAATCTTGTTAATTGTGTCAGAGTAAGCATTTTTCGAAACTGGTGGTGGTAAATTCAATAAAGAGCACAGTTTTTTTAAACTTGTGTGTCCATTTCCTGTCTCTACACCACCTTGAATAAGGCGAATATTTACCTCTGACCTTCTACCACCATCTTTAACATAATTGCTGGTATGAAAAATAGATGAATTCTGACAGTTTGTGCACAGTAACAAAAGTTCTTCATCAAGCCCTTTACGTGCCAAGTCATTTTGGAAAAGCTCCAATTTTCCTTTTGCTGACCTACATGATGCACATACTGCAGCTGTAGTTAAAATGTTCTGCAAATTTTCAATGGTTACCAGTTTGTTACCATATGCTTTAATATATTGGCTGCTGTTGTGGCCCTCCTTAGCACTACTTGTTGTTGGTGTGGATTTGTTAATTCCCAGCTGAAATCCTTTGGCTCTTGTTATTGTCTCCTCTCTTTCGACCTCCAATAAAGGGCAGTTATTATCAATCTTCTCAAAAGATCTATTTAACTTCTCTGGTGAAGAAGAACTTGCTGGGCCTAAATCTTCCGAATTTGACTCATGTTCCTGTTCTTGTTTCCGTTTACCACTGAACACTCTTTTCCGTTTTTTTCTGTAGATAGTATTCTTTTTTTTCCCAGGCATGACAAACTGAAGAATTTCAACTAGTTTCAAAAAACGCACAAATGTTATTTCAGCGAATAGTAGAAACGTAAAAAGTGAAGCGTGTCAGTGTCCTCTCGAGGCAGTCGGCAATCTTTTCGACAAGTACTTCATGTTATAGGTGCACAAACATAATTCAACTCAATTTATAAACTTATAAAACCCCAAAAACGACAAATTTAGCCCTGGAAAGTCGGTTGACACCCCAATCATTTCCTTAGCAACCACATTTCATGCGTTGCTAGGCAGGGTAGCTATAATAAAACATAGTTTTATAGGTGAAAAGATATTTTTTTTGCAAAATAGATATCGAGAACTTAAAACCTAATACTTGAACTACAATTTTATACCAGAAACCCAGATTTGAAGAAAACAAATTTCTTTAACATATTTTACCTATTCATCGTCCTTAAGTCGATAGACCGACAATATGGCATGAAAATTCCGAGTAATAAGCCAAAAACTGCCAAAATTATGTACTCAATTTGAATTAATCGATTTATATTTCTATATACAATATTGTTGGCTATTAATCTAATCCTATCAAAACAAAACAGCAACAACGACAACAGAACTATTTTGTAAACATATGAAAGTGCGATGTAAAAGCTTCCTCCGTACCTGCCTTCCGCTTTGTCATAACCAAGGATGGCCAAAGCTAATTCTTGACAGCTTGAGCTGTCTTCCGTCTCATAAAGGGCGACAAAATAATACGTACCGCCACGGAATTGGGATTTGGTTAGGATGGAGATGGTTTCACAAAGGATAGAATAGATCAACCTTGGCTAGCTATCGCTCATTAGCCGTTTCTGTCGTCAAAAGGACACCACAAATGTGATGTTTATATCTAAATAAACAAGAATTTGATGACATCTGATTATCAGATTCCTCTTCTAGTTTCTTTTGAAAACCAGTCACCAGAAATTGCTAAAACATTGTACGATTCTTCCAGTTATCTTCAAAACTCATTTATAATTATATGGCCATACCAAATTTATCGGCAATGAGGGTACTACTAAACATAGCATCGTCAGCAAGGCTGAAAACTGCAATACACACTTTTTTAATAAGAATACCTAAATTTTTTGCTGAGCCTCGATAATCTTAATATTTTTTTTCATTTTGAGCCCAAGATTATTCGTGAATTATTCTTACGCGACACAATACATACATATATATTATAGTGTTTATGACTCCAAGGCCAGATAGCCTAATTAAAGACATATCGGATGAAACTCGCATTTATTTTGCGTTCCAAAAAAGTCAAAAAAACAAAAAAGTTTAATTCTTGCTGAATCTTGAGCCTTGCATTTTTAAAATCATTCTTAAACTTCAGCGATTTTGAGCTTTAATATTCTTAAAGACTATATTATTATAAAAATGTGTAGTTGCTAAAAACCCAGGATTTTGATGCCAATTCATCACCAGCTCGAGGCCAGCATATCAGATGTTTACTTACCGTTGACAGGATATCGAATGGCAAAACATATTTATAATATATGTCCTGAAGCTTGTTGACTCGCCCTTGAGCCTGGAAATACGAAAAGCATCACAATAACATACACAATATACATATACAGAAACATATACAAAAACAATGACAAACTTATGTTCTTATCGAAGCTCAAAAACAAAAACTATGCAAATATTTGAATAAATTCCACTAAACATTTTCACATATGTTTTGGTTCTTAGTTGAGGATGAGACAAGATCTCCTTGAAGTCATCTGAATAAACATTATATCTTTTTCAATGGAATCAGTCGATTATATCTATCAGTTTCCAAATTTTTTCTTACACAACACGGGCTAGTTCTATATAACTTTCACGTCATTGCCGGAATTTTCATTAACGCATACGTCAATTGGAATATATCGAAATAAATCTTAAACTAATTGCTATATTGTGCCAACATTTTCTGGCTCTATGTCATAATCTATATCGAATTTCTACAAACAAAAATCCTTTAAAAAAAATTTAGGGGGCTTAGAAAGTGTAGGTTAGAGTAAAAAAGTCACAATTAAGAATAGAATTTATTAAATATAAAAATTTCAAAATTCAAAGAAGATAAATAACATACATTCTTTGGAATGTGTAGACTATCTGCAACCTTATGCCATTTCCGTGGTGTGTTTACCTGAAAAATATAAAATACCTTGCTTAAAAATGACTAAATGTTTATTAGATTATGAAGTCGAACGCATTCGTGGCTCTTATCATGAAATGCATTTCCCAGAAAAAATTAACAACAATACTGTTTTATGCTGTATCATTTCACACAATGGTTAAAAGAACAGCTACATAGGTACAGATAGATTGATCATAACTAACTACCAAATACATCAAACCTGATCTAGGTTCCTAGTTAAATATTGTTACCCATTGTTGTAGTCCGTTAATTCTATCCGCAAAGTTTGAAGACTTACATCTAACAAGATCAAAAGAGCAACCAACAAAAAAATGTTTGACAATCAAACCTTCATTCTTAAAGGAATAGTTGTCTTTGTTCATCTTTCCTAGAGTAAAGTTTTTTCCTCCTATTTTTCTCTCTAATTTAAGTTGGGACAATGTCTCTCTAATTAAAATCCAAATAAATCACCATCCCATAATATAAATCGTACATAGCTAATGTTGCATATGTACTCCTTACAAAGCTCAAAAGTACAAAAGAACCATGAAAACTTTATTTGTCCCTTCATTAACTTTGGGCATAAATGTTTCACGGTTTGGAATTTAATGCGAATCTATCGAATTTCAAATCGGATACACGTTTTCAGTAAACATATTCCACAAACTTTTCCACAAAGGTCGGATTTGACAAATTGGAGTTAAATACTATGATTTACATTGTCCAAGCACCGCCCCTGAAGTTAGCTATGCCCTTAAGTAATACTAGTTCTAGCAATGCCCCTAATTTGATTTCTGCTGTATGTATTTTTCTGTGGCAAGGCTTGAGCAGAGACAGATGTGCTATTCAATACGCTACAGAAGCGGCGGAAGAAAAAGTGACATATTTCAAAACTTGCCTAAAGAGTTTAGACGGCCATACAAGTATACGAATTACAAACGTACGAAATCTTGATTCTGTAAAGCCGCGTTTAAAGCTTACAATTGCAACAAAGATGTATTGTTTAAATTAGATTGTATAATACAATTTCACACTTTTTTGTGAAAAAATACCATTGCTTTGGTAAAAATACAGCTTATCTTGCTTTGGTAAAAAGACCAGAAATTTACCATCGATTTTTGCTCATGCCAATCTGCATTTTTAGTAAAACAATTATCATCCCGAAAGATAACTTGCAGTTTCATTGAATATGGAACTCAAAAATGATTGCAAACTTTCTTTTTGGCAAATATTGTCTCTGTCAGAGCTAAGCTTTTGAGCAGCTGTACGAGGCATCAATATGCGCAGCCGATTGAGTGATAAATCTGTTGTCTGAATATCACGACTTTAAAACATGTCTAGACTTCTGAAGAAGTTATACAACATGGGCATTTGAAAGCATTAAATACGAGGGTGTAAAGCCACAAGTGATTTCAACAAGTAAGATTTCAGCATCCTAGTGAGAAAATCAGATTATTAGAAACTGCATTATTCCCAAATAACAAAATGCCTTTAAGTAGGCCAACAAAGTGCCCAGTGCCATTTTGTTCAATAATCTCAATGAGATTATAAACTAACAATGGTTGGAAAATGAAACACTTTCAAGAGTAAACAACCCAGACAGTGCAAAATTTTGGATCAGGTTTTTCTGAGTAAACTTGTAACTTAAAGGCAATCGACAACGCTGATTTATTGGCTAATAAGCCACTTACGTATCTGTCAATTACTTTTGAGACAGCCTCCTGTTGATGTTATTGTTTCTTTGTGAAAATAAATGGCTAGAAGAAACTTTTACAGAAAACGAGACAAATACTATCAAAAGAAACCTAGCTACCAGCGTTAGGCCACAGGAGCATCGCGCGTTTCATATATTACCTCTAGATGAAAAACGACACGAGAAGCAAGTTTTGCAAGGATATTTAATACAGCAGTCGTCTTTTCATCTAGCAGTTTTGGAATCGATCTACATACAAACGAAAAAGACGGTATTGTCTAGATAGAAGGAGATCGTTTTCTATCTTGGACTCCAGTGGTAATATTTATTTAGGCACGTGGTAATGATTGGATAACAATACCAGTTGTGTTTTTCTGATTGGCCTATTTCGATCCATAACTGGGTATATATTTTCCATCTTGTTCTTTCGGAACCTTATTCTGACGTTTGATACTCTGAGAAATGTCAGACGAAAAATTTTACAGTATGCTGTAAAATGTTTGCTATTTTAAAAGCCATTTTCCATTTTTTCTCCGCCCAAAAATTGTTCACATTTATAGTACGCAAAGAAATATTAAATCGCTGAAGGCAGTTCAACCCCTGCTACTTGTGAATTTTTCATGGCCATCAAAAATAATTTATCCATAACCATTTGTATTAGAGCTTAAATAAACTTGAAGTCTAAAGGTTTGATATACTTAGAGGTCTTACCTTCGCTACACCTCCAGCTGACTCGAAAACCTTGGACATTTGAAGCAAGTCAACTTCACAGCTACCAATCTGGACAGGAAATGCAATTAAAAAAATGTAGAATAAGGTTGCAAAATTTGAGGAATGCCGCAAAATATATTTTGATTTTTTACTCCACCCGCATTAAAATTTATAGATTTTCTAGATTCAATTTTTCGTAAACGTTTCCAATCAAAACTTCCATAAGTGCGAAAGAATACTCATCACAATCTGCATGATTGATGTTATAAGTTTCCCCACTATAATAACATTTAGTATGAAAATAGTATAAGCTCCTTGGTGAAAAGTAATTTTATTGCTCTTCCCTTACTTCTAAATATGCAAAATCAGTTAAATATGTCAAAAATCGGGTGATATTTGGCCAACGAAAAATTTGGAGTTTGCTACCGGATTACTTTTATCTTTGCCTTGTTCATAAAGTCATGATTCCACATTGTGATAAATTACGCATAAAGACAACAGTAATACAAATTCTGTCTACGGTTCCAGTGGTAGCTGCAACCTCAAAGATCCACCCGCCTTTGTGGTTTTAAATGCATGTTTATTCTACGAATAACAAATTTAAGTTCATTACCTGAGGGAGGGCTTCCATCAAATCAGAAGTTTCGCCAAGGCACTTGTGCAAGTATAATACAAACTTGGTTGTTTCTGGGTTTCTAAAAAAGGACAGTATTGAGAATAAATTTTGCATTCAATGCTACATTAAAAGATAGGTAAAATGTAAAGAGATATGAAAAACCTTACAATAATGGGCTAGATTCTTGTTATCATTAATATAAAATTATTCGAATTTGAGCTAATTCAAGCATACATAATTAGAACATATATTTGACAAACAAAAATGCAAAGCAAACATTTATGCAAAAAGTGTCATCTAGGGTTAGTCAAGGAAACCAAAGTTCCTTGCAATAAGTTTTACAGATCTTGCAACTGCATTTACTTTCTTTTCATTTGTCTTTATCTTTCTTTTAATTTAATTTGAATTCTGAGAATCACTACTTTCATTTTGCAGATTGTTCCACAATCTACACATTTATTCCACAGATGAGAAGATGGTTTAGAAGTTCAGATAACAATGAAAGGATATCATCCTCCATAAATGTGTGATTTGAAACCACAAAGAAGTTCAAAATATACACAATAATGAGTAGGAGGTTGTAAACGGATAACTTGAAAGTAACATGGACGTGAAGAGCAATGAAATGATCTTTCACAAAGGAGCTTTTATCATTTTGATACCAAATTTTATTATTGTGGGGAAACTCACAAAATCAATCATGCAGATTGTGATACCTGCGTGAAATGACATAGAAATAACTTGATATTAAAAAAAGAAACCAAACCCAATTCGATCACGCCCCTTAATTTTTGGTTTGGGGTACAGAAGCTAAGTCCTCTACAAGGGTATCGGCCATATCTATAATTTAAATAGTGGTCCTATTGTATTTTGTACATTAATTTGCATTTGTTTCTACCTTTCGCAGGTAGATTAAGGCCACTGAGAAGATATGTTTATCAAGCAATGTTTTGGTCATTCCTCTTGAAGTAACACACCTCGTGATTTCTACACCTGTAACTGCAGAGAGCTGGCAACTTCCTCACTCTGGGTAAAATGTTTGTCATACCAAGGACTAGAGCCACGAACCCTTTGATCTGTTCTCTCCGACCCTAAAACTAGCCACCCTCGCACCTCGCACTCTTCATAAGTAGACGCGTAGTTTGGTAAGCTGAATAAGGTTCAAAACAGATCCTTTATAAATCTCTCTCTGTTTGTATTTCTTAAGACTCTAGTGCTGGATATATTTGTACAATATTACAAAGATACATGAAAATAATCGTACCTTTTCTTAAGCCTATGCACTTGTTGTATCTTGGTGCCAAAACGTATATCATCACTCACGCTACTTGATGGCTTTAAAATGAAACAAATTTAAAAAATGTAGAAACAAGCTACATGTAAATAAACAAATCTGCATGAAACAAAATTTACAGACTCACAATCGATAATTCATGGCAAAGGTAAAGTTTGTATTCAAACTAACTCGTCAACTTATAGAATTTATTGATTAATGTCAAAATCAATGTTTTACATACAAATTACCGTGCAAAGTTCATCACATAACAGGGTAGTTTTGCTTAACAAAATAATGATTTGCAATATGCATTAATGCATCAATAGCGAATAGTATATGATCAGTTTTCGAGAAGTTGACCCCAGTGTTTTCCAAGTAAATGTAGAATACAAATCACGTAAAAACAGCTAGCTTTTTTTCTTTAAATTGTTACATTGTTTACACATGTTCAAGTTTATGAAGCTGATTTGAAGTGAAAAATTCGATCAAATTGAACCCCTTATCTGATTTTTAAAATAACAGGAAATGGACATGTGTAAACGTACGAAATACCCAAGCATTCCAATGTGTCAACCTGGGTCTTCTCGCTTAGATAAGGAAAATGGTACTTTAGTCTCTGTTCACATTATACCGGGTTCATTTCGTATCAGATTCACTGGCCCAGTCTCGTGCAAATACCAGAGCCGTTCATACAATACCCAATATATGTATTATCGTATTCAGGTCTGTTGAAACAGCTACGCTCTATACTGCTCATTCTGGGGATTAAAAAGCGCGCCAAATTATTTTAAAGACGAAACTGCCTTTCTAATAAGAGATTTCGGAGCAAAACCCTTTTGGGCTTAAAGCGATCCGTGTCGTTATATGACATATTCAAAATGAAATGGTTTGACTCAGCACAAACGAACGTATCAGATTGAAGCGCTATTTTATGAAAAGAACGCCTATCCGATATAAAAAGTGATCTGATATAAAAAGAGGTCCGATTCGAAATGAACCAGATGTCAAGAAGGCTTTATAAAAGCAAATGCATACCTGCCAGCCAGCTGGAGGAACTAATATGCACATCCCATACTTCAAAACAAAGGGCGTTATCTTTCGTATATACTTCATCGGATCCCTAAACTCTTGCTCCATTGGCCGGAAGGTAGGCGCATGTTCCAGTTCATTTTCAAAAGCATTTGCATCGGGTTTCTTTCCCTTAGATCTTGATTTTCTACAAGCATTCGATGTAGTTGTACTTTTCAGTTTCACATCACAACTGTCTACCGAGTTAGAAGTCAAGGACACTGAGGTGATTTCTTGCGATAACTCACTATGCTCCGCATGACTACTTCCGGGAAGAGGCTTTTCCTGGAATTTCGAGCCCTTTTCATCGATTGCTTGAGGCCATTCATTATCAGAAATCTCTTTAGATGTTTCTGAGTCCTCTACAGATTTCTGGCTACCAAGTGTTTTTCTGAGTCCTTGGTCTTTAACAGCTTCTATATTCGTCTGGTTCTCGTGTGGTAACTGCCGGTCTTCTTCTAAGCCACAAGAGGTGTTTACTGATACTTCCGTACTCGGACAGTCAGAGACTGCAGTACTGAATCCGGGACTGGAAGAGCGCGTTGAGGGGCTGTTGTCAGTCTCATCGAAAAAGGAGCTCAAGTTCCGTGATGATGACTTCTTTTTTCTTTCGCTACCCGAACAGGCACTTGCTGATTCGCAGTCAAGCTGGAGAGAAAAAAGGAAATAAAATTAAACATAAACGGTAAATCATCTTATTCAATGCAGAACGAGCAATGAAGACAGAAATTATGTACCAATTCACAAAAACCTTAGGACAAATTTCCATTTGTTAGACAATTGATCGTCAGTTCCGTCATGATAAAATTGAAACATGGTGCCACTGAACTAAACATGTTTGAAAATAGCACGGACAAGCAGAAACATGTTATACATAATTCCATTCGTCGAACACTCGTCAGAGTATAAATGTCCGATAACTTCCAAAGGTAAGCATTAAATTTATACCCAGATGTGGATCGTAAGTAATGTGAGAGCAAGAATGGTGCGTTTGATTGGATCCTTGGTTTTGACCAATCGCAGCCGCTTATACCTCGCCTAGTTAGAGTGTCCGAGAGAGAAAACGAACACTAATATACACAATTCGGGATCTTTTGTTTTCACGTAGACTTTGTTTTTACTAAACATGTGTTAAACAAAAAGGCATTGACATAAAGAAGGCGAGAGACAACAGCCATTGGACTTAGAAACTCTGGATCAATAAAATACTTGACAAAAGCGAAGAAAATATATCGGAAAACGGGGAAAAAGAAGGAAGGTCGTTGGATAAACAAACGTGGGAGAAATTGGAGACTTCCCTAAAGAAATGGATAAAAAACAGCAAGAAACACATCATGAAAGCTAAACATTTTCAGAGGTGAATATGTGGACTAAGAACAATTGTATCAACAAGTCATTAATTGATTGAAAAAGATGGGAATAAGAAAAAATAAAAAAAAATTTGATAAAATTGACTGAGAGAAAATAATACGAATGAGCGACATATCCAGGGCAGGACTGGAACCCTTGGTTAACTGACCGGTACACAATGTGACTGGTAGCAGGTTCGATTCTTAACCTTGTTGCGACACTCGCTTACATTTTCTGTCATAAATAGAGTTAATCTATTCAAGACTTTTCGAATTTTCGAATTTTCATCAGTCAAATATTTAAAAAAATTGGGTAATTTATGGCTAAGGAAAGATTAAGATTCTGCTAGCTGATTACTGTTATTTACAGAGACAAAATTACAGAGGTTTGAGGGGGAAAAAACCTGTGCTCATGTGACCACATCTCAGCAAATTCGAAACATCTTTAACTGAATTTGCACATTGTGTGGTTTTTGATGATATTCTTTAAGGCTATGGGATCCAAATCAAAAAATTCTTAAAATATATTTTTGTGACGTCATCACTTAAGAACATTATTAAAAAACGAAAAACTGAAAAACTTGAAAAAAGGATTGACTGACCTGATGGCGGTAAGCATCGTACATCTCTGCTTTACTTGAAGAGCTATCAACTTGTCTTTTGAAGAAAGGAGACAGCGGAAGATAATCATCTTCGTCCGAGGACAGTGGCGAAGGTGGAAGAACAGGGCTGTTGAAAAACTCCAGCTCCTTTGGCAAACCTGCCGTCCCTAAATGAGAGCAATAATAGAAAAATTGAGGGAAGAAAGAAGAAAAATCGATAGCTACACAAATAAAAAACCGCTAAAAATAACTGTGTACCGGTCTGTCATACTTATTTTTCTGTCATTCAATAAACAGCAACTACCTGAATAAGTGGTATTGTTTTCTTTTGTGTGTAGCTTCCGTAAGGAGAGGTAGTAGCAAAATGAAGGCTAATGGAGTAAGTCTAGGTCGATAGATACGCACAATGACTGGTGTTCATCTACTTCAAGTTTTTGATATAATTGAGAAAGGTGCAATAATCAACCAGTTTTAAACGATCCTGCCGAGATCACATAATACGAAGAAAGCAAAGGCATGGCACAAATTCTTTGAGTTGCCAAAGCTATTTCCTGCAAAAACTTTCTTAAAAATCTAAAGAAAGCTATCAACCTCGAAGACAAAGAAATTTGATGAAGTCTTCAGTTTTTGGCCTTGCTCCAGAAGATGTTCCCATTCGTTGTAGAAGTAAGCTGAAAGAAAAGAAACAAAATTTATACAGGTTTCTCCCTCAAAAACCCAGATTTGATGATGATATTTTCATAATGGTTACACAAAAAGTAGAATAAATATTGGCAAAGAACAGAAACATTTCTGACATCCAAGGGTTGCAGGAATGACCTGGCAAAAGTATATTTACTGACAATGACCTTAAAATTTTTTCAAACCTAGAAAGTAGACGTCAAGGGGTTATAAAGACTATATTGAAAAAATAACATTGCAAAAGAAATGACAGCCCATAAAGAAATGGTGCCAAAACAGGAATTCTGGGGCCAATATTTAAAAAATATTTATGGGAAATTTCAAGAGATGTCACCTAGTTAAAAAATGGATAATTTTTGCTTGAAACCAATGGCAAAACATCCATATCATTTAACATATTTGAAATCAGGAAAGTTGTAAAAAAGTGAATATGAATTTTTGAATCATTTAAAAGATATGGGAATACCATTCTCTTAAAATACAAGCCAAAATGTTCCCTACTTTTTAAATGTGAATAGAAATTATGAGGGGTTTAAAATACCTGTTTGGACTGCATGGCTGGGAATGAGCAAATTTTCTTTGAGCCCGTAGCTGTCTTCTTGTTCTGCAAAAATTATTCTCATATAAGATATTTGACAAAATTAAAGTCAAAATTGTAGAATTAAGTTCTAAAGCTTCTCCTTTCATTTACGTATGTCAATGAAAGGATCCTTATCAGAGATCCAAATCAGAAACATTTGTAAGGGATTTGATCCTGTGGTAGTCCTTGACAAGAATTTACTATTTCTTAACATGTTAGCCAGAATCAGGAGCAAGTCTCCTTGATGAAGATTTAGAGCAGGCAGAATGTTTATAACTTTTCAGGGGAGGTGACAACACAACAGCCCCAAGATTTTTGTCCTTTTACAAAATAGCTACATCAGTTGATAAATGTAAGAAATAACCGAATGCTGAATGCATATAAGATCATGAAGCCTTATCAAACATATTGTTTCAACAGCATCAACTTTACTTCTGAAGCAATGACAGTATTGTTGGAAAGAAACATACTTACTTTGTTCCTTTTGTGCGTAAGCTTGTGCTTTGTAAATTACTGCAATTACCACTGGGCCTAAAAATAAAAGCAAATTGATATGTAATGGAAACAGAGCAGCTTTCTCTTGCATGACCAAGAAAAATTACAAAAATACAAAGATTGAATATTACCTATCAAGAGCCTTAAAAATGCAGTAAATGTCTTTAACCTATATGCAGTTAAAAACCTTCAATATAATCAACATTTAGCTTGGTTCATTGGCATGACATGATTCCTATCTGAATTAAAATGACTGTTTTACTGGTCTAACATTTGGCACTGGTTGCCACATAGGCAGAGCTGTACACAAATTTGTGTATAGAACAGCACAATGAATACAACATGAAACTTATACAAATGAAAAAAATTGAAAAGTTTAGAAAATTAAACATAGAAATAAGTTATACTTGTTTGACATTGCTTCATATTGCTCCTTGGATGCCATTTTTGAAAACTGCTTTTCTGCATGGCTGGTATGCAAATCATTGTTAAGCTTCCCACCAAGCACCAAGTTTGGAGGAACCCTAGCTACAGAAGTAGGCTTTTCATTCAATTTCCTTTTATTTGATACTATGATCTCCTCTGGGTTTCCTCTAGCTTCATTGGGCAATTTACATTCCGTAAATTTCTTCTTATGATTCTGCTCTTTTGCCTTGTTTAGTTTTGGCTTGGGCTCAAAACTCTTGTTAGTACTCTCTTTCTCAACACAGGAGGACTCTTGCAATTTCTCATTGTCGGATGTCTTTGGTTTCTTTTGCTGCAACCCATTTGCAGTACATTCTTGATCAGTTTTGGTGTCTCTCAATGATACATACAGAGCTTTCTTCAATGCCTGTTCTTCTTCTCGCAATAATACTTGGCTATAATCCTGAAAAAATCATATCAAGCAAGAAAGGAATGAGAGCAAAGCATAAAGATTTTTTCCTGTATTATTTCCTGCAACATCAAACAAAAATGGAAGGACTAAGGAATTTATATTCACACTATGCATCTTGAAGCAGTCAACAGTCAAGTCACATCTACAGGGCAGGAGCTTCCCCCCTTCTCCCTCTCCCTCTAAAAATTAAAAAGATTATTTCTTTCTGATGAACAATAACTTTTGCTCCTATTGTTTTCAAACAATGGCTCCCTTAATACTTCTAACCTTCCCATACAACATAACTCCTAAATTTAGGATATACTTTTACCACTTTATCAAAGAATAATGCACCAAAATATTTTAGCTCAATACCACATGAAGCTTTTCATGATATGGGGTGAAACCGGTACAGCCCACTGTTTGAGGTGTCAGTGCCTTTCTTTACTTCACACTTTTCATGATAGCAATTTTAGCAATTTCAGCAGCAATGTGGTTTCAAATTAGACAGATAGTGAAGATCAGGAAAAAGGAAAGTTTGTGAAAAACTTGTGAGCAGATTAATATAGAATGATAATATACATGTTGATACTAAGAAAGTCAGATGATATGCAGGATTTCTGTAGCAACTAAAATGCCTGCCAAAAGTCTTGGGACACTGAGGTCAGTTTACAAGGTCAAATTCAGCAATTTCCCCTACCCCATGGAACAATGTTGATTTACCATCAAATGGTTTTGGGAATTAGGAAGTACCTTCTTCTGCGTAATGACTTGATTTGGAAAATCAATGAAAGATATAAAATACAAAGCAAATTGCTGGGTGTTCCAAGTACTGAGGCAAAAACAGTTTTAGTAATAGAAGAAGAGATAGATTCTGGCATTAAATTCATGTCTGGCATAAAGCACCCTCCCACGTTATGGGTAGCTTGTACCTAGAAGTTAATGTTACTTTGATCTAACTACTTATCGCAAGTTACCAAACATTTAAACATTTAAACATGCAAGCTGCCTTCCCCTCTGGCTTATCTCCCATACAGCATCTTCTTCTAAAAGGTATTCAATAAATGGTAGATGTATATAACGGTGGTACAATTGGGGGTTTGGGAGCATTCCTTAAGTTCTAGGCAGAGTGGAATTTGTATTTTGTCTAAATTCGATGAGAAAATGTTTGGGGAGAGGTAATATTTTGGCAAAGTATCTTTCAGTAAAAGATTCTATGACCGCGATCGAAACTACCTTTTGAAAACTGTGAAAGGTTTTGAAACTCTGAATGGACTTTATTTCTTTTAAAAATAGAAAAATGCTCATCAAACTTAAATGAGTAATCTGTTGACATCAGTTAATGGATCGCGTATTCTTAAAGCTATTTGAGCTGCCCTTAAGACTATATGTAAAAAAAATTGACAAGGACACGGCTCTGTTGTATTCATTCACATATATTCACCATTGTCACAGCAGACCATTATATATTGGAAAATAATATCTTACAAGACAAGGCTTGACAATTTTTCTCTTCGGTCGACTTCTCCAACGTGCACGATCGTCATCTTCGTGGTTTTTCCGCGGCATGTTCCACTCATCTGCTACTCATTTCTTAAATTCTCAAAGCATATGAGGCCGCAAGTGTTGTTGTTGGTTTGAGCCTCGTTCCGCAGAATCTCGTCTCTGCTCTATCTCCTTCTTGGTGGCCTCTAAGTCTCAAAAACTTTTTCACCTGATTCTCATTCTTGAAAAGGGGGGCACAATTTCCAAAAAAGGGGCACCAGACTCGATGAGGGAGGGGCAACTGTCCCTAGGTGCCCCCCTTAAATCCACCACTGGTTTTAGGGACTGCGGGGCCCGGGGCCAAAAATATATGCGGAGCCCTTGTTCTTTACAATTTCCTTCTTTTTTTTGGTGTGGGGCCTCTAAAAGTTTTGGCTATCATAAGCGCAGGGCCTGGGGCCATGCCTCCCTCTGGACCCCCCTTAAAACCGCCACTGAGGGCTAATCGTTCGATATTGGGAAGATTATGCAAATTAGAATTCATGTGATGCAGCAATATACGTACAATACATGTATTTACAATTTCAAACGAATGCATGTTAACCAAAGATATTTTGCTAAAAGATTCAAAGTTAAAGATTGATGGGCACAATATGCTCTATCTAATACAATTTGTAGTAAGTTGCCCAGGACACTGAGAGAACCGAAAAGGTTTTTGAGCCCAGTGCCCGGATACTGAAGTTATGATTTGTTTTTGGTGCAGACTACTTTTTGAGGCTACTTTATGTCATTTCATTAGATTTAGGATAAAACTGGTCATGTGAAGTAAGGGAGTAATTTGAATTTGCAATATCTACAAAACAAATCAGAGAAACAAACATAACTTAGATTTTCGTTGAGAACAAGCCAATTTTAAATGTTTCCGAAACAGGATTTTGCTGAGTAGTTCTCTAATGTGAATTGGCATACCATTCCAGATATCTATTCAGTTGTATGTAACAAAACTTTTTTATAGTTGGTTCTTATGGAGGGGATTGCAAATGTTTCATTTGTTGCTTGTCTAGTCAGGTAATCATGTCGGGAGGAAGCTGCTTCAAAGAATTGATCGGAGAGTGTGGCTCCTCTACTGTTGCTTATACCATCCATGAAATTGCCACATTCTAGTTTTAAACTGCTTTTAAGGTTTAGTATTCTTAGTTCATTAAAATTTGTACTTAGCACTTGATTTCAAATTTTCAAATTTCATTACTTTTAGGACTTAGTGAAAATCACGTACATTGAATTGACTCCGTAGCTGTTTCAGCAGCACAGCCCAAATTATTAAGTCTTTAATTAACGTGTGGTGCAACGAAGGCAAAATAGAGATTTCGTAGGTTTGAAGAGGGACAAAACGTCTTTTTTTTGCAAGAACACCAATAATGTCATAGTTTAATTTTTCCACGTTTAGGGCATGTCATAGTTTTATTTTGTATCTTTTGTATGTATGTTTCGTAATATAAACTTTTACTCGATCTAATTGTGTGATTTAACATATTTTGGTATCTTTTGTATCGCTGTTACCAAATTATCTTTTGTTTTAATAAATTTCTTGTATAATAATTTTAGGATAATGATTTTAAAATGCAATTTGTTATCCATGGCTTTAGAAGTATTTTCTCCCCTTAAATTCATGCCTTTCCCTGATTTCTGTTTGCTCCTTTGCTTACGTCATTACTTGTTCTTTCTGCTTGCTTTATTTTTAGGAATATGTTTTGTCGTTTGTCTGTGCGATCGAATGAACGTCTCCTTTGAATGAACCGAAGGGGCAAATCACTCCAAGAAAATCTCGTACACCTTTTGTGAAAATGCTATTGTTTTATCTTAAAATCCCAAAAATCCTTTTGTTTTAGGAAAAATCTCGTACGCTATTTGCAAGAGTGAATCGCCCCTCGGAATGAACAACCCGCTCAAGTGAAGACACCGCTCAAATACGCATCTTTATATTCAAGATAGAGTATTTGCATGTAAAGACCATTGAAATTTTCTGTTTTCTGTCGTAAATAACGGAAAACATTCAAAAAGTCTATCTCAGAAATGTTTTAGGAAGTTCCTTATAAGCGATCACAGGCAAAATAAAGCACAACAGGATCAAATGTCGTTAAAATGCCAGGATCTGTTCATTTCTTTTCAATAACACATAGCGTGTAGTTATAGAACTGTTAGAATCTAACGAAGTACCGTATTTCCTCGAAAATTTGCCGAACTTTCAAAATAAGCCGATTCGAAAATAAGCTGAAAAAAATTAGAAACTACAGGAAAAATAGACCGACCTTGAAGATTAGCTGAGACACAGTGATCATTCGAATCTTTTTTTTTTCTTTCTTCATTTAAAGTTGGTACAATTTCTAGCTATGCATACAAGCTTATTAAAACCAACTAATTTAAATCACCAACGCTAAATATAATATAAATCAAATATAACCGATGTTGCTAACATATTCCTTGCAAAGATTACAAGTACAATTAAACGATGTAAATTCTGAGATTTTTTTCTTGTATATTGATAAAGTAGGGGAGTACTTTATCTCATTTGGAATTGAGTTCCATATTTGGCTACATCTGTATGATACGGTATTAAATCCATATATTTTGTAATGTGGCTCCGCTGTTTTGAATTGGGAGTTTCTTAAGTAATATGGGCATTCATTTATGGAAAATATTTCATCCATAAAAGGTGGATTCAATCCGTTAAATGTTTTGTAAATTTCTATGTTTTGTAAAGATATTGTAAATTTTTCTTATGAGAAGTTATTGTTTTATTCTTTATTAAAAGTTGTTCAAGAGCTGTTCTAATGGCAAATTGTTTGGAAATTTGTTAAAATTCTTTTTTCTCTTTTCAGAAAACATTTCGAAAATAAGCTGATTCAAAAGTGACCGAAAAATTTCATTTCATGAAAAAAATAAGCCGCGGCTTAATTTCGAGGAAATACGGTATTTGCTAATAAGCTGTTTCTCAAGGCTCCTTATTGGGCCCCATCCTCTTTTGGAACTCTATCAGTGATTTGCCAAGAAAATGAAAACTATGATATGCCTATTCAATCATTAGAGATATATCACTTTAATCAGTTATTACTATAACATATCATTAAAAGAGTTTAAACTAAAAGCTACCTAGCAGTTGTGTAACTTACTGGTAAATTAGGCCAGAACTACCAAACATAGGATTAAATCCCTGAGCTTTTAAGGGACCGAAATTTGGAATTTTCTTTTCCGGAAATAACGGTAGTTACTCTAAAATAAGCACTGATCAAGAAATTTTCTGATGAGATTCGCCTTAGTCATGTCACTGCATCGTATAGAAGCAAAATGGGAGGTCAAATAAAGAAGTAGGAGCATTGTCGAAAGGAAAGTTTGGGACAAGGTGGGTACAATGAAACCCAAACATGACCCTCGCCTAGGTCCATGACGTTGAAAATGTCCCTTTTTCTACAGCATATTTGTGGCGTCCGAATAAATTTTTTCCCTTGATTGTCAAACATTTTCATTGAAAAGAATAATTTCATTGACTTAACTTCAGACCCCTCTAAAATGTCTAACATTTTTAATAACTTTTATGTCAATGTTGCTGATGGTATAACAAAGACAATACCCCTAACTCCAAAATCTCCTCTTGAATATTTATCTAATAGAACCTGTAATTCATTTTTCCTTTCTCCAGTTACTTTGTTAGAGGTTAATGATCTAATCAATATTTTAAATCCTTCCAAATCTGTAGGCCCTAATAGTATACCAATAAAATTACTTAAAGTTATTGGACACTCTGTTTCACCACTCCTTGCTCTTCTTGTTAATCAGTCCTTCCAGTCTGGAATTTTCCCTGATAAACTCAAAATTGCTAAGGTTATTTCTCTTTTCAAAAAAGGAAATCCTGAGCTCCCTTCAAACTACCGGCCAATTTCTCTTCTACCAATTTTCAGCAAGATATTTGAGAAGCTAATGTATAGACGACTTTATAGATTCCTTGAAATCCATAATATTCTTTATTCTTTACAATTTGGATTTCAAGAAAACCACTCAATTGATCATGCCCTTGTGAGTTTAACAGAAGCTATAAGAAATACACTTGATAACAAAAGACTTGGTTGTGGTATTTTCATTGATTTGCAAAAGGCTTTTGATACGGTTAATCATAAAATTTTGCTTTCAAAATTGGAACATTATGGTATACGTGGATGTGCCCTTCAGTGGTTTAGATCATATCTATCTGATAGAAAGCAATATGTTTCTGTTAATGGAAATAACTCTGACTTACTTTCAATTACTTGTGGTGTTCCACAAGGTTCTGTACTGGGCCCATTACTTTTCCTTATCTATATCAATGATCTACCCAATGCTTCTAAGAGACTTACTTTTTATCTCTTTGCCGACGACACAAACATCTACTATGAATCCAAAGGTTTAACTAATTTGATGAAGATTGTCAACAAAGAGCTGAGATTAGTAAAGAAATGGCTTGATGCAAATAAACTATCATTAAACATTGATAAGACCAACTACATCATCTTTCATTCTTCATCTTCTAATGTTCCTTCTGGTCCCGATATCAAAATAGGGAAGAAACAGATTAAAAGAGTAAAGTTTGTTAAGTTCTTAGGTATCCTCCTGGATGAGCATCTTTGCTGGAAATATCATCTTAATGAACTCTCTAAAAAACTAGCTAGAACATGTGGGCTGTTTTTCAAAATTAGAAACTTACTTCCATTAGATGTCCTAGTTTGCTTGTACAATGCTTTGTTTCTGTCCTTCCTACAATATGGTCTGATTGTTTGGGGTCAAACATATGCATCTTACATTGATCCAATTTTCAAATTACAGAAGAAAGCTGTCAGAGCCATTTCATTTGAGTCTCGCATGTCTCCTTCTCTTCCAATCTTCAATGACCTTAAACTTTTGAAACTTTCTGAACTTTTTGAACTCCGATTATTAACCTTTGTTTTTGATTCTGTTAATAAAACTTCACCTACTTGCTTTCATGACTTTTTCCTACTTAATTCATCTGTTCATCGGTATTCCACAAGACAGGCCAAAAAAGGTGACCTATACATGTTTCAAAAAAACAGTCTTCAATATGGTCTCAAGTCTATTAGATATCTTGGTGCTAAACTTTGGAATGCATTACCTGTGGAACTCAAAAATGCCTCATCAAAAACATTGTTCAAAACAAAACTGAAAAATTATTTATTGAGCATAGTCGACTGATCAATCTAAATTTGTGCTACTTTGCAGTTTATATACTGAAGATGAAAACTATTTAAACTTGTATGAAATTAACCTGGCTATATATTAGAACAGGGGGGGGCTCTCTCCTCGATTAGTTTACCTATTGAGAGAGCTCCTCCTTTAAATAATTCCCCACATGCAATTTATTATTTAGCTCCTCTTTGTATGTCTATTGTATTTAGTTTTCTGTAACATTGTATTAATTTTTTATTTTGTTTTGTAAAATTATGTATTCAATCTATGTAGTTTAGTTATTTGTATGTACTGTAGAATTTTAAATTGTATGTGGAGAATTTGAATTATATATATATGAACTATAATAATACATAAGTATAGTTCTAATGGTATTTTGGTACCTGTATCGCGGAAAGAAATTGATTTGTTAAAATTTCCCCTTCTTGTTGTCTCTCTAATTAATTTTCTAACAGAAATGCCTTTTTAAAGAGTCTACAATCCTGGCCAAAAGTTATTGGACTGGCTGGCAAATTGTAGTCTTTTTAAAAAATACGCCCCCCGCCCCCCAAAGTCAATATCGATACGCTTATTTCTATTCATGTCTACTGCTGTTACCTGGGTATTTTCAAGAAAACCAACATTGATGCAGGGATGTGTTGTTTTGATAATACTCTTGGGGTAAAGTTACAATTTGAGCAGAAAAGTGTCTTGCTCTCTTCTCGCTGTTTCCTTGACGTTTTATGAGAAATTCTGCGCAGGAGGACCTTTTGTGGCAGTTCTTTGTTTGTTAACTGTCGCAGTCTGCGGAGGAAAGAAACAAGTTGAATCATAGGCCTACTCTAAAAGATTTTGGAACATCTGAGGAATGTAAGAAAAGAAGTTAAGTAAAAGCAGCATGGCCACCGCGGCTACCTCTAAAAGTGGAGCTCCCAAACAGGAAGGCGAAAGCGCCACAGCTACAAATGGTGGAAGGCCAACAAAGGCACTCCCTCAACAGCCCTTTGATGACAACGTTTCAGTCCAAAACATCAAAGCGTACCTATCTAATTTTGGTGGAAAGGCAAAGTATTCGGACATGGTCACGTTTTTCAAAAGATCATTAACAGATCCCGCTTCTAAAGGTAAGCACGTTCACAGTTCGTCATCAGTGATGGCCTAAAAGGTCACGATCTTTCTGAACAACTGGCAAAGTTGCCATGTTGTGTTTTTTGATTTGATGACGGTAGAGACCCATTGTAGTAAGCTACTGAAAATTCCGATTTGAAAAGACGTTATTGATTGTTTTGCACGATATCCTGTTAAGAAGTTGTTATTTTAACCGTTGTTATGACTAACTTTCTTGTTTTGACTATCGAATCATGCAGACATAACCGCATGAAAACAATTTTTTTACCTGAGTAGGCCAATGACAGTCACACGATGAAATTTTCAAACCAAAATATCTAAGCAGTAGAGCAATATGCTTTTTCTATTTAGATCTATATTTATTGAAATCTACCTGAGTAGAAATTTAAGTCTACATCTTAATACTTTTTTTACTTTTGGTATATAAATATATTTTGGATAAAACATTACCTCTTGTTTCTTATAATTTCGTAGATTTAAGATTTTGGTTTTTGTTCTTTTAGCAAGGAAAAGAGCTGATTTCAAAGATATCTTGTCAAAAATTGCATCTTTCAAGACTGAGGATGTAAGTGGCCATCAATTTTTTCATCCCCTTCTTCAAATCTCTGTATTTAATGGTCTTTAAATGTGAACAAGAGGAAACAAAGTGTGGGCCAGAGGCTGAAACAAGCCCACTTGCCAAGCTGACCCACTGAATGAATTTGACTGTTTAACATACATTAAAGATTAGAAACTGTTAAGAAACTGCAATAGGTAAATTTTCCATTGTTTGAGGTTGTTCATGTATGCCCCATTACCCCATAGCCTAGCACCCCTTGATTAATAAAACATGGACACCTGACATCAAATTAAGCTGCATTTGGTCCCTAGCTTAGATAAGTTTGACACTGTGGGGCTACCTAATAAGTTCAAAAAATCTTAATTCTAGAATTGTTGAACTTTGACTTTATAATCTGGATCTAATGATGTGCAGCTTAAGTAGATTCATAGGCTAAGATACAGCCTATGAAAGAAATAGAGTACTATTTGGAAGAGCTGTTTGAGCAGCCAATTCAAAGATCCAGCCTGGATTCAGCTTCTTGAATTCAATATTCAACTATGTTCAACTAACTCCCAAGGGTCTGTGGTTCGAGTCCCTGGCATAGCCAAACTTTCACCCAGAGTGAGAAGAGTCATCAGTTCTCTGTAATTCCAGGCGTAGGAATCACGAGGTATGGTCACATCGAGAGGAAGGACCAGGACACTGCTCGATAAGCATAGCTTCTCAGTGTCCTAAAAGCTACCTTCAGATGCTAGGTAGCAACAAATACAAATACCAACTCAATCTTATTATATTGAATCAGCAATTGTTGAATACAGGGATTATAACCAAATTTATTTTGAATAAAAGCATTTGAATATAAATGCTAGTTAAAAATATAAACTTTTTATTTTTACTAGTCATACTATTTACTAGTCTAGACAATTCAAACTGCTTGATCTACTGAGATTTGTGAATGATTCTGATATAAAATGAAATTTTTTTAATTTTATGATATAATTTTTGTGCCTTAGGGTGAAAGATTAATTTTATTACGAAGTCCTAGCAGTAAATGCAATAATTTACAAGGTCACCCGCCAAGACCCCTAAGCAGTCCAGAGCAGAGAAGGATTCACTTGCTTGATAGAAGATTAGGGTCTGACAGCTCAGCATCAAGCCAGTCTTCTTTGTCTACTTGTGATAGTGGAATTGGACTTGACTCACATGTATGTTCATTTTATCTATAAATATATATATCTATATCAGCCAGTCTTTGTTGTTTAATGCATGTGCATGCACTGGCACACGCATTGAGCCAATAATGCATGCAATTTGGCACACGCATGAGTCAGATATATTAAGCTTCCAAAAGTTGAGCAACATTGCCTTATTTTTAAAATAGCTTTTTCAGAGCTGATATGTACATTATCATATGCAGGCTGAAAAACTGCATACCTGAGGCAAATTTAATATTCGAAAATGTCCAATCTCAAATCAATACCTTGTAGCTTGAAGTCAATAAAAGCACCATAAAATGCAATTTTTAATAATACTGTCTTTTTCAACAAAAATCTGCCTGTCTGAACTACGAAAAATCTTTTGTAGTGAAAATTTCCTCTTGCATTAGTTTCACCCAACACATTTATGTCATTTAGTATAGACAACTGTTTTGTCACAGTTGGCAAATTTGGAACAAAATAATCTGCAACAACAATTTTTAGGCTTGAATAAAATTTATTTGCTAAAGGTGTGAGATGGATCAAAAACTAAAGTCGGCATCTAGCAAGAGGGGCTTTGCTCTGGTTTTTCCAGGATGCCTCTCTTTGCACTTGTTTCAGGTGATATCTTTATGACAGTTCTCCAGTTCTTGTAAGCTGATAAAAAGTATATATGTAAGGCAGAAAAATTTACATGGGAACCCTCAATATTGAGTTAGGTATTTTCCCATGTATCATTCCTTAGATTGTATTGCCATCTTCTTTTCTTGCTGGTTTTACCATACAATGTGGTCAGGTCATGACCATACCCATACATGTCCGTATACCTATTTTTAAGCCCTGGATGTTGTGATAGAAATTAACCTTTGAAACAGTTTCCTTAATTTTTTTGTTGGAATAGGCCAATGGCTTTGCTTTGTTCAAATTCCACTGGCAAAAAGGCAGTCTTGTAGCAGCACTAAAAAATCCTGCATTTCCCTCTTTGCCTACACTATCTGTGTTATTTTACATTTTTTTCATTTTTGTTCTTTTTATTTTCATTCTTTTAATTTGTGTGAAATTGCAACAGAAACTTGCAAAGGTAACAAAACCAACCTGCTAACGATAGTGCATCTTGAATAAGCTGCTCCAAATTTTAAAGATTATTTTAAAGATTGGAAGGCAATGACTTTTTCTAATGATAAGATATCTGCCGTAAAGTACTAAAAATAAACGCAATCTAAAAGAGAGTGTAATTTTTAATTCCCAAAAATACACGCAATGCATCGCAGTATACAAGTAAGCACCCACTAAAAGTAATGTTTTCAAAAATAAAGCTGATGAAAACTGAAAAATGTTTTTTCTTCCTGGGACTGGACGAAATTCACCCATAAATTTCATGCAAGAATGGGAAGATTCTTCTCTTTTCACCCTTCCCCCTCCCCAACATGCGTTTAAAATTTTCATTTATTTTGTTTTCAGTCTATAGCAGGCAATGTTGCTGCACGAGCTCGTGAATTAGGAAAGAGCACAGATTCTTTAGATGATGATGTATGTATCTCTGTATGAATAAATTCTTATTATTTGTGTCCACCATCTGGGAAGCTGCTAAGTTTTCAACCCACACCCAACCAAAATTATTGCCATGCTCATGTCTGTTTAATGTTTTTAATATATACGATAACTGGCTAGGCTTCTTCAACGTCGAAAAGTTACAATGAAAGATTCACTCTTCAGCTAATTGTAGAATTTTTAAACTACTGTTTTGTATATAGAACAGGACGCTTCTAAGTTGCTTAGCCTCAAAATTTCATACTGAATGTATCACGCAACTGTTGAAACTACCATCTCTATTGTGGTTGTTTTATTTAGTTGTTATGTCCCTGGAGGTATTGGGAATTTCAATTGTTCATAGGTGTTAATTAAGGGGAATTTTCCTTTTTAATTGCTGGTGGTTAGACAAAATACATTTTTAGAATTTTAAACCAATCCTAACTGTCATGTAATGGTTTATGTTATATTCTTATATATTTATTATATCTATACACATTCTAATATTCATCACCATCTGGAGAACACGAACAGAGTACTAATTGCTAATAAAATCACCGAGCTTACTTTTTCTGCTACACAATGTTAAGCTTCACAATCAGTTATTTCTTGATATGTTATAGAATATTTAATGATATGATGTTGATTTTTGTTAAAGTGACTAAATCTTATTGTCTCTGTTTCTTCCAACAGTTGATGAATGATCTTTACGACGATGAAGGTATGAGGCCTACTCTGATTTTGTTACATATCATGTTCTTCTTTGATGCAAACCATATTTTGCATGCATTTTCATGTTAACAAGCAGCTCATAGATCTATTTATGATCTGATTCACTCGAGGTTGGGAATTAATTACAATTCTGGCTAAATTTTGTAACCTTGCGACCATTTGCAAAAACACTTCCAAGAGGTTGACACCCCCTTTAATTAACCCCAAACCCCATAATTTGCTAAACTTTAGAATCTACCACGAACCTCAAAACCCCACTCCCTGTTTACCTTCTTTTTATTCTAAACCTTAGAGTAAAGGACTTGTTTTACGTGGCAATACTTGTTAACTCAAAATGATACCGTCTTTACCAGTGAATCATAGAGTATACAGAAATAGATCCTATCCAATTTAGCCTTTAGTAACGATAAAGGTTATGTCTACATTTTCAACTGGAATTTTAAACAAAATGGTAATCTCCCTTCCATGGCAGTGGCCTCAATTTCTCTGTTCATAATCTGGATATCCACCAATTCGACTTACGGCCTCGTTTTGGAAATTTTTCAAAACTTCATTGTACCACTCTTTTAAGCTTAGATTTGGTTTTATCACCATAATTTTAGGCTGGATACAAATGTTCATATTGTTTATGCTTGTATTTCGGATTTGACGGAGAGATGAAGTTGGAAAACTTGTAAGGGGTTTGACCGCAAAGATCATTCCGGATGAAACTTTACCCCTCTAGTCACCAATCACGGTCAAATCCCTTATAAAATGATTATCTTTATGTCGTCGTAAAATCAATCTCGTGAGCAATACCCTGAAGAAAACTTCAAAGTAGGCTAAATTCCTCCCTCTCAATCCGAATCCGAGGTCAAAAATTTTGTACAAAAGAATTTGAAGAATTTGAAGAATTTTTCAAAATGAGGCCGTAAGTTGAATTGGTGTATTGCATCGATCGAAATGGAAAGTGATGTCGGACTGCATATTTGATCTAAGTATTTGGAAGTGCAATGCATCTGCCATTAATTTTCTCGGTCAGAATTATCCAGTTTCTGTGGAAGGAAATGCATGTTCCGTTAATCAGAAATTTGGGTAAAGAAGCAATTCATTTACCCAAATCATAGATATGAACCAAGCTAGCATCCATCAGTTTTATTTGTTGCTGCCTTTTAATCGAATTGATTTTAATTATCTTTGTTCTTTTTAGGCGTAGACTATACAGTTGCAAGTGGGCAAAGTGAGGTATGTTAAAATTGTGGATCATTTCGTACATTCTGCCAATACATCACTGACTACCACTTGTTCACAGGTACAAGGAGAATCGAGAAGTGTTTGAGAAGTTTAGGTCTACTGTTATTCACTGTCGCGGAGATTCAGCGTTTCTGTTCAGTGTTCAAAACGACCCCAACTATGGTTACAGTCTTGCGGTAAGCTTGATGGAAAATTCACCTCGGAGCATAAACGTCCCATTGCTCTCTTTCAAATACCAGCCAGGATATCATCGTTGTTACAGTTTCTTGAATATTTTATCAAATCCTTTTTAACTTTCGTATGGCTCACAAAATGGTTTGCGTCTACGTTCCCTTCATCTTCGGCCTCGGTTATTTTGATCTAGGCTAACTGCTCAACGTTAGGTAGCTCCAAGCAATTTGAGAATGAATAATGTCAGGCTTAGCATCACAATTTTAAATTTCAAAGACTCACCAGAAAAATTAATCTATTCTTATAAGAAGAAATATTTACAGTCTCCAAAAATCTTTCCGCTGGACCTCCTGCTGTTAAGCTTGCCAGTGTCCCCAAAACTTCCCACCCTAGCCATTATGCTCCTGCCATTTTAGAAGTTACACAATTTCTTAATTTTGCATATTGCTTATGAATTGACTCACTGTGACATCATTATCGAATGCTTGTCCATGCTTCCCTACTAGAGAATACTTCATTTTTTACTATGGAGGCGCTCGTGGACGGCTGTCAAAATCAGATCTCTGTGGTTTCTGATGTTTTATGTTCTAAGTTTTTTCATTCATTCGAATATGATCTTCTTGGTCTATTTTGATAGCTTGTTTGCCTTCTACTCTCATTTGCTTGACCCTACCGTGAAAAGATTCATCCATGAGTAAAGGATTGAAAAATTTTGTTCCTCTAAGAAATGTTTCGTCAAGAATTTTAAGCCATCTTTAATTTTCAAAATAAATGCATTAAAAAGTATTGAATACAAGTTCTTACCTCGGAATCTCAATTCGAGGCTACATAGGTAAGAGGTTTCGTGATTATAACATCCGGCAAGATTCATTCTATGATAGCCCTTATCAAGGGCCCTGAATGGAGATCCTGAATTTCTTTCAGCCATTCCCACTTTACCATCAATCCAAATAAATTTTTTCAAGATATTTCGTCATCCATGCAGTCACATTTTCATACTTCGATGTCTTTGACGGTCCCTGTTCCAATAAAAGCTTGTGGTACCTCAGTTTAAGCTCAAAAATCTATTTCTGAAACTGCTGACATTTTACTTCATTCCCTCCTTGACGTCTTACGCATACCTCTTTGAACGGAATTGCCTAGTTTCCATACTGCTCGAACTGATAGTCATAAATATGCATGACTAATAGTCATAAATTAGCATGATTAATTATTTCAAGTAAAGGGTCGGGGTTAGGTTTAGGGTTAGATTTTGGTTAAACTAATGACGCCATCAGGTCGATCAGTATGGAAACAAGACAACTCCTTTTTAAACGGCCTACCCTCTTGCCCAAACTTCATTGATCTTCGGCCATCAAGAAATTGACCGTTCAACAACCTAACACAAATGTCATTTTCATTGACAATAAGCTCCCAACAATTGTGTCATGTTTTGATTTCTTTGATTCCAATCCCTTGTTCTATATTTATTTCTAAACGCCCGCGAGAATAAACATTGATATTGCCCTTTTCCATTTTTGTTCACTGTTTATAAAAATATTAAACTTTGATTACGTTTTCCCACAAAAAGATTGCCGCAAATTAATAATATGCAAAACAATTTCAAAATACTAGGCTTTCTTTGCAGTCACATATGTCACACAAACGAATTGTCAATGGTTCATCCAGCCCAATCTCACATGTGTGCGATTTAGGCCAAGAACCATTTCATCGCATGGCCGTCTTCACCAAACCACTTTCAATTGCAGAAACACGTGCTCCAGTGCTCTTAATAAAATTTCGAAAATGCGACCCAGTAGATATTGATAACTTGTTTGTGGTGTGAATCCCTTTATACAAATTGAATTGATATAAAAACCGACCAACTCTGTTGCCATGGTTACCCGGTGACTTTGTACTGTTTAAGAAATACCAGCCCACAATTTCGTATACTCCTGTTCACGATTCTACGGATTTCGTTTGCTTGTTCAAATACAAGACGCACATCGAGAGCAGACGAGATAAATTTGAAACTCTCTAGCTCTGCACGAAATGGTTAAGGTAAGATTTTGGGCTATCTAGCAACTCTTTTTAATAAATTCAAAGTTTTGTCCTGACAGTAGTATCCGGTGCATCAAGGACAGTTAAATGTACCGGCTAAACTTGCTTCCAAAATGGCAGTAGGCTTGAGTTATTTCTTATCAAACCAATCGAGGTTCGTATGCCAGATGATATCAGCCAAGACATTGTTGATTTAGAATTTGTTGAGGTCTTTCTGATAAAGTTGTGGTTAAAATATTTCTTGATTTCAATACACATAATTTGAACGGGGTTGTCAGTTCTCAAAAGCCGATGAAAACTACTGGAAACCTTGTAGAAATTTTTGCCATGTTTTTCAAAGTTCGCCCGTTTTGGATTCATTGTCTAGCATATTTTGGTCTAATCTGGCATTAAGTTCATAAACTTTCACGAGAGACCAATCTTATCACAATTCTCCTTGATGACAATACCACTCCCACTCAAAGTCTGTATAAACTTAGCTTTGTTTTTAATTTTTGATTTCAATCCCATTCGCTGTTATCCTAGAAAAGCAACATCGAGATCCCTTCTTTTTTATTCATGGCTAGTCAAGTAATTTGAGATCTCCAGTAAACGGAAACCAAACTAAAATCTTGTATGGAATTCAAATCATCCCCTGGTCGTTATCGTTGCAGTTCTCAATGTTCTTTTACCTGCTACAGTTATCTTCTACCTTGGCCGTTTTTATAAATTATTCATTGTAGTCAACATGCCTAGCTTTGTTTGAAAATAATGATCAAAGAAATTCTTAAGCTTTCTTTGTCATAAACATTGTATTTTTGTGTTGTGAAAATTCCACTTCCCCATTAGACAACTGAACATCGGCGCGCCAGAATGCAAACAGGCAATTCTATTGCTGACAAAAGACATGTAAACATATTTGAACGGCACAATGATTAACTGGGGGCCATTCCTACCCACCAGTCAATTTTGACAAATATTGACCCATTTTAAACCTTTAACATACCCACCTGCGGCATACAGCCCTGATATGAATTTTAGTGACATACCAGGGACGCAGCGATGCCCCTGGAAAACGAGACCCCACTGCACCCCTATCTGTAATCGAAATAAAGGTTTTAAATGCCTAGGATTTTCCGGCAAAACTGTTTATTTTCTTTAAAATGGTCATAAATTATGTTCAAAGAATTAAAAAAAACAGCTTAGCTTTATTGGTGAAATATGGTTTTTTTTGGATTCATGGTAAAGCTACAATCCCGGACAAAATGGTTGAGACTTTTCAAAGAAAGCTAAAATTTCACTTTCCTTTCCAAAATAACTTTTCCCCCTCCCCCAATTCAATGTTGAATGCATGATTTTGAAGAAGAAATGATAGATCTACAAATCCAACATCGATTCGGGGGGAAAGGGGAGATTCGAATTTATAGGGGGACATAAAGTAGAAAATTGCAGAAATTGCATTTTGTCTCAACAATTTGGTCCGGGATTGTAGTCTGGTTACGGAGGCAGCTTGGTTAGCGGGATAAAAAGGAGCCATAAGAGATATCAAACCAACATGATAGTGAATTATAAACAGTTATCGAATCGTTTAAAGCTTAGGATATCAGAGAACCTACAATTCTAAACTAGGATCTAATAATACATTGTCACTTGGACACCAGTCCTTTCTGGTAAGCCGAAATGTATCCCTCGGGGATGGACCCATCTGTAGGTAGTTATGCGGGCTCTCTAGCGACCATTGTATTAACAAAGGGGCAATGAGCCGGAATGTATCCCTCGGGGATGGATCCATCTGTAGGTAGTTATGTGGGCTCTCTAGAGACTATTGTATTAACAAAGGGGCAATGATGCCGCCCCCTTAACGAATGTCGGATAATTGCCATAAGACCAGGTGTTCAAAAGCCGAAATAAAAAGATGGCCTTCTGCCTCATTTTTTATGGGTTGTTAACAGTCCCGTACCTGCCCATTACTATCCTTATCCCACACTTGTTCGCTTTACGACACTTTCTCCTAGTATCTATATAATGAATACGAAAAGCCTGACCAATAAAGACTGTTAAACTTACGGAGGCATTTAAATGAACTTAATATTTTTAGTTCAGCAAAGAAGAAAAGAAATGGATGATGTACGCAACCCTGTGCGATTGTCAACAATTAGCTGCTATGATGGATAAAAACCCTGACTTGCCAAGCAAACGAGATTTTGTCACCGTATGTAATCCCCAACTGTAGTTTTTTAACTTACCTAGGCTTTTATTGATATGGAAAACTTCCCATTAAATAATTCCAATTACCTAGTATTGAAATTCGTCTTTCGCTATTTACTTTTTAAGCAAACCCTTTGTCGTTGATAGGCCCTCTGTAACGGACCCCTCTAAAATACGGATATAGATTTTCGCCAGTCTTCGTGAAGACACTAGTTTCCTTAAACTAAACGCTCCTATTCAAGTTTTAATTTTTTTTATATATAAGTATTGGAGATTTTTCAAACTGTTAATAGTCTTCGGATCATTTCTTTGAATTCTCGAAAACCGTCGACAACAAAAGAAATTTTTTTTTATAGTCTCCATTGTGTGATATTTCAACTAAACGAATGAAACATAAATTGCTTTTAACAAGTTTCTAATCCCTTTATTTCTTTTTCTTTTTCATGCTTTGGTATAAACAGGGGGTAAGTAAAGGCTGTTTCTCAATGTTTTTATCATTATAAATTTTTGTTAATTTATTTGAAGTTGGCTGCTTTAAAAAATAGCGCAAAGTTACTATGGAAGGCTAGTCAGGTGGAAGCTGAACGTTTCATTAACGGCCATTCCGCAGGACACTATTTTTCAACCTGTTTTATCCACAGCACACTTAGAAAAAAACACGGGGTACCCCACCAAAAAACAATGTTAGAAAATTAAACTCTGTGGCCTACATACATAATAATATAAAGTATGTATTCGCTGAGCACGACCTTATGTATATTAACAATATAACAGCATGCACTTCATCTCGCACTTCATGACAGGCGGGTAAACTGTAATTTTCGTTAATTTTTCTCGATTACGTAATTTTTTCTTCAGCCAATCCCCTTTCATCGCCAATAACTGTTCCAAAGAGTTTTTGAAGAAGTTTTTACTATTGTCTTGTTTTCTTGTTTTTCATGTTGCCACGTGCTATTGAATAACGAGCAAATACTACTTTCAGTTTGTAAGTATTCTTACCATTGTATATTAGAGAAAAAAAGTTAAATTCTTTCTTGCATGCATTCATCTGGTGTAATCTTAATAGCTTACCTATCTGTCTTGTTTTTTTGCCCTTATGTTTTGATATACTGTTTTGTATGATTTAATTTCATCTCTTTAAATACAATGTTAATGGACAATTGACCATGATAACATCTTAGGATAGCACCCACCCTGATTCCTGACTGCTTTCAGCCCTATTAGGACGGGGCTTAGAAAATCGTAGAAACCTCGTAAAGAAAAACAAAATTGTGTTATTTTGAGCCAAGGTCCTGATAAGTAACTCATGAAATCGTGAAAATTGCCACTTCAGACAACTAACCATGACGTCAGCTTTTTTATATTTCTGCCATTGTGATAAAAAAATGATTGCCATCATTTTAGATCACCTCTCTAAAACAACTCTCCCGTTTTTTACAGACAGCTTTACATTGGGGAGCAAAACTTGGAAGGCGTGACATGGTACGGTTGATCGCTGACTCAGGTGCAGATATCAATGTCAGAACGGTAGGATGTTTTTTCTCATTTATTTCACATTTGAAACGATAAAACGTATCATTTTTCAACTGTGATAGATATCCATATTATACACTGACAGAACTTTGAATAGGCCAAATATATATTTTTTTACTTTGACGGATACAAGATGCAAACAAAACTTTCTTCATTTTGCATAAAAGTCGACCTGTGTCCAATCACATCATTGCATGGAGGGTCTTATGATAAAATAAGTTTCTTTTTGTTTGGTTGCCTTTCAATACATTTTGCGATCGCCATGTTTATATCCGTTGAATTAAAGTTATCAACAGCCTGCTGACTAAATGCTTTTAATTTTTCCCCTAATGTATATACTTTGCACACATTTGTACAGCAAAGGACTGTTTTATTTTTTTCGTGGAAATTGTGACAAAAATCAAGCAGTCACCCAGGAGAGGTTTTCTCTACCAGCTGACGTTATGTGCACCCAAAAACGTGCAATTTCATGTCTCATTTTTCAAGTTAACTCCTTAATGAGTTCTTCTGCTCGTTGCTTAAATCTAAAAGTCTATTGCATAAAATTTACAAATGTTAGTCCAAGCCTTCACTTGTTAAGCATTTAGCCATGTTTTTTTAAGATTATTAATTTACAATATGTATGTAGTAACAACCAAATCTAGTTTTTTGCTTACTTATTTTTGTTTTCTTTCCATGCTTCGTTTGATTCGACCAAACAGCACGTAAGTAGCTAATTTTCTTATTTAGTTTTTCTCTCGAAGACACCGCTCAGCAATAACTTTGTACATCAGCGTTTAAAGAATTCCGAAATTGTGACGTCACAAAATCTATTTTTAGAATTGTCAAATTTGGACCGCATAACATTTGAAGAGCTTTATTACATACCTCGAATTTACAAGTTCTACTGAATTTGTTGCAAATTAGCTAAGATGTGATAACATGAGCACTGACATTTTCTTCATCAAGTCACGGGTATGATATCCTTGTTTTTCAAAGTCTCGTGAGATTATTATGAAAAAGGTTGTTGTCTGTGCTTGTAATTTGTACTAGAAATTGCTCTCAAGAAGATATTTAACTGATTTTTTTTAATTCCCCTTTTTTTATGCTAACCGATTTTTTCTTTTTCATTTCATCTATGCTTGGATCGAAACATACAGGGGGTAAGTACTCTGAACACTTAACATAATAACGCCAATCTGTTTATCCTTCACTATCATATAATGGCGCATATAATATTAGACAATCGTAATTTTAGCTGGTAATTGTTGCTTATATTTTTTAAAGCAGCATTCACGCCCAGATCATAGTTTTACGTGCTGTACTCCGTTCACCAATGTTAAAGCTGCATATATTGGTACAGGCCAGATGAAAATGTTGATAGATTAACCGATTAGCTAGTTTTCTTTTATTTATGAAAGGAGCAAATAATTAGGGAATCGTTGGTTGTCTAGGGTAAGTATGACCTCTATAACGAATATGACATCCAGAATATGTTTTCAATCTGGATTGGTTATGCTTGTCATCAATCCTTAGTTTCTTAATTGCCTCCCTTGCCAGAAACATTCTGGAACAGTAGTGCAATACAAATCTGTCAAGTAGAATTACCGCAAGGAATTAGTTTCATTTTCAAAAGGCGCCATATCTTTATAAACTGTGAGGTCGTCTTTCCATCGTTGGTGTCATTGCAGTACAATCACTCTTGTTGTCGAGTTTCAGTTGAAATCATTACTTTTGAGCCATCTCGTATTGACATTTATAAGAAATTTTTGATTGCTTTTATCCAGGGACAAACAGCATTACATTTAGCTGCAATGCAAGGACACGATGCTATTATCAAAATGCTTATCACCGATTACGGTAAGATTATTTTGAAAGTTGCTAATCATCTTATTGCTATTTTTAAAGTTCTTATTACCTCAAGTCTGAATTCGTAGTTCTAAAAGCTCTTACATCCACGAAAATTTTCGTTTTTACAAACCTCGCAATAAATAATATCTTATCCTTTCTTAACGCTCATTCTTTTAGTCAACTTTTTGTAATTTGAGCTCTCTTTGGGCTCGTAAAGATGTTCGGATTACAAAGTGCACAATTTACACGAGAATCTTAAAAGGTAATAGATTTTGCTGCAGTTTTCTCTCATTCTTTGTTTTCTAGCCTTTATACATATAATCACAAATTGCACAGCCAGGTTTCTAGAAGTTTAATGTTTTACAGGCGCTGACGTTCATGTAAGAGATTACGCAGGCAAAAAGCCAAAGGATTTGGTCAAAGACACAGTAGCAGGAGATCTACAAAGTAATTTTAAATTATCATAAAGTTTTATTTTTAGCCCACATTAAAAGGCAATCTTCATTGACCATATGCAGCCAAGGTAGCGAATAAACGTTGTTTGTATGTTTTAGCATCTTATCCTTTCAGCAATATTTAAATTGATAAAAATTGAATTATTGTTTGATGCTATTTAGCTTGAAGATACACCGATAGAATATATAACTATGAAGAGGACTTGGAATCAAAATGAGAAGTTTTTTTTTTAAATCTCTTGAGATCGGGAGTAAAGGGGAAAGGTTAAAAATAGATGACGGTGAGTAATGGTCAAGTCCAAATTTTACCGAGGGGCCCGATAAATTGGAGTTTGGATCGACTTCTTACGGAGCCTAAGTATTGTTGAAAGTGATATCAAAGGACATTGGAAATTTGAATCTGTAGTCCAAGATTTTTGTCAGTGAAACAAAGGTTTAAAATATAAACGGGGGATCTTTTAAACGAAGGAGGTTCTATTGTCGACTTCAGAGTAAGTGGCAATTTTGACCTTTCACATGCGTGTTAACTTACTTTTCTTGGAATTTCAGGAAAACTTGGAAGATCGCTAATACTCGGTAAGAGAAATTATTTCATCAATTCTTTGTACTTTTTCATTTGTTCCACACGCCGAAAAAGAAATAAATACTTGAAATTGAATATCAATCATATGGTCAGATTTTAGATTACAGAAATAAGTATATGTTATCTTTATTTCTTTCTGTATACATTTCTATGGCTACATTATATCCTTGTTGCTTTTACAAAAAGCCTTTATTGATTCAATTGCAATCCCAAGAAGATGATAGGAAATTGAAGTTGTTTACTTATTAAAATCTTTTTAATCAAGTAGTTATCTATTATATAATCAGTTTTCAATATATATAAAGAGTCTACAATTTACATATTTGACATGATTTGATCAAATTTGTATCTTAACCCTGATTGGATTTTTTTGATTGATTAATTATCTTTTTCCTTTTAAATTGATTTGCAATAAATTAACTCATGATTCTCTTTATCTGCAACGGGTAAACTCGTGTTTTTAGCTATCTTTATGATTTTCTGATCAAGGTTCGTAATCATGGAATATTTTACACTGTGATTTTCGCTGATTTGTGTCGCTACTTGTTCAAAACCAAAGCTTAGTTGATTGAATTGTTTTGATCTTTGATTGCCTGATGAAGAATCGCAGCTACTGTCTGGCCGATAACAGATCTAACCAGTGATTGTTTGATTTGTTGATTAACGAATGATAAACACTGATTTCCTGCCAGACAATACGTTATTTCACTACTCCATTGATTTCTGCGAGTGATTCCTAATCCAAGATCTTGTCTACACTGGTTGTTAATCACAATCTAATGATTGTCTGTTGTATCTTATGTCGTGCAATCGTTTCTTAGGATGGTTTTGACTCCTTTACTTAAACCTTGTTTTGTGTTGATTCTTTGATTCATGAAATCAGTTCGATTTTGTGTTGATTTATCAATCATGGTGCTTGATTCAAGTGATTTAGACAATGATGATAGTGCTCCAATCACCGAAAATCCAAACAATGAAGCTGATAAGGCGAATCGTCGAATTTCATTATCGTGAATGATTCTTGCCTAAACGAAAATTCTTCTTTATGGCTTCAGATGGATCCAAGCCACTGCGTCGATACTCAAATGTTTGCCTAAATCCCAAGCTACGAGCAAAAAGAGAGACACACCGAGCAAGATGGAGACGAAGTCAAAGCGATTCCATGCTAATAAAATAAAAACTTCATTTTTTAATGTTTTAAACATTAAATGCTTATCATATGGGTTAGCATCATAGCTAAAACCTTTAAAGCCAGGTCATCAGTCAAAGGACATGAAGCAAAGGTCAAAGAAGACTACTGAAACTCGAGGTCTTGTGTGATTTCTGTCCTTTGACCGATCTCGGCAGATCTTCTACTTGAGTTCGTTTTCTTCTTCGTAGTGAATTTTGTATTTCCATGTTTCTGTCATTTTACTTTCTTTTGGATCCTAAGCTTTTGGTGTGCACATACTGCACTGTTTTGTTGTTTCAGTGTACTGGATGTTAAACTGACTCCTGTCAATTTTTGCCAAGTATACGTTGTCGCCTATTTTCAGACATCTTTAATAACACTGTCGCATATCCTGTGTCTAATTAGTGAATTGTGTTCGGGAGGTTTTGTTATAGCTACTGTTTTCTTTTTGACACTGACATTTCGCGTTGTAGATTTGAGCCTAGCTTATAGCTCAAAGATTGTCGACTGTGGGTAATTTCTTCAACTCTTTTGATCTGATACTGTATTTTCCTATTCGCTGAGAGCCTTTTGCAGGAGAAGTTTAGTTAAAAGGCTTCCTGTACAAAAGCCGTTTCTTTACGACTTTCTTACCACGTTGTTGTCAAAATCTTCGTTGGCATTTTTACCATTCTTGAGATTTTTGCTTCTTGTTGGAAAGCGCCACCCAGCATAACTCAACTTAGAAATATACCCATTCCAGGCCTCGCGATCTTTTCTTCCTGTGATATTTTGAAGTAGGCCTTTTTAATAATCATGTTTGATTTTGCCATTAAACTTCTCGGCTGCAGATCCCGATTACAAACCGGTTGTTCGTGCCAGTTTTCATTTTGAACAAGATGGCAAAAAGAGTCGAAAATTATCCAAGGCAAAACAAGCAGGTTTCTTAGAAGACTGAAGCTCCCTGCCATTACAGAACTTCTTGTTGTGTTTTTAAGTCATATTCATATATATTCTAATATTGTATCTTATAAATTTATTGTTTTGAATTAATATATCTTAAAATTAATCATAAAATTATTTAACGTATTTAATTGCCCAACGCAAGTTTCATTTGTTTTCTTGACGAATTATTGAAATTATTTATTATATATTCTTGTTATCATTTGAATGAATTTAAGAGTTGTGTTTTGTAAGTTTCATTTTTAATATAATTTATTGATTATGCAAATATAGACCCATGCTAAGATATTTAAGACATGATCCATTATTTGTTTCATAGAAAATCCAATATTGGTTTATTTGTTTAACCTTACGTTGACAATGTTATCTCTTGCTAGTCTGTTGAAATATTTTTATACCCTTTCCCATCCCAAACATTACCCAGTAATCTAGTGTGTAACATAAATTTTACTGCTATCGACTGTGGAGTGCTCGTTATGTGAGCGGTGTATGAAATTGATGATTCAACACAATCAGCAAGATCACCAGTTGTGATCACGAGGATCAGTTTTCATCTTCAATCGCTATTATCAATCATTTATCAGTCATCATCCAATCATCGTCCGTCCTTATCAGTCATCATCCAATCATCGTCCGTCCTGATCAGTCATCATCCAATCATCGTTCGTCCTTATCAGTCACCATCCAATCATCACCAATCATTTTAAGTCATCGTCCAATCGTCATCAATCATTATCAATCGAAGCCAATCTTCACCTCCTCATCCCATCACCAATCATAAACAACCACCTGTTCGGATACATTCCCCTATCGACAGCAGCCAAGGTCTTATATCTGAAAAGGGCCTACATTCCTGTTCTTTGGAACCAACTTTTTGCTGTCTGTTGACTCACACTTCCTTTGACCCCCATTTTGCTGCATATTCCCCCGAAATGTAAAATTTAAAAAACCCATAAATAATTAGATTTACTAAAAACGATCTTTGTCAATATTAGTTCTTACTCATAATAATATATTTAGGAGGCGTGCTTAACAGTTATCCGAGTTTATATTCCGTTTAAATAATTCTGTGTATCGGAATTAAATGCAAAAAGTTTTGAGGTTATGAGATGTTTGGAGTATTCTTCGCATGAAATCTTTCGATATAAGTTCAATGCCTGAATATATTTTGGATAAATCTAGCAAAGACTAGGGAACTGTGAGATAATATGATATATAGACAATACCATAAAAACATTAGCGATTTTACTCGGCGGAATCTCTGTAAAGTGGACACCATATAGTGTGCCCTTTATACCTGTTCACTTTCTACAGAGTCTTTATTTGAGTTTGAATAGAAGAGCATTTTGTTCCTTGACTTACTGTATGTCTTAAAGATGTGTTCGCATTATAGTATATCTGCTTTACAGAGATTCGACGGTAGTTGCTATAGAATTTCCCCAAAAACGGCCCAACCCAGAACAGAATTTAAACCAGCAATATCCCAAGCGTCAAGGTGTTTTTATTTGCCAAAAAAACTTATTCTTCACCCCTTAGGTCACCACATTCTATTAACCTTCTAGCATGGAACACGTATTGAGGGAAAAACTGCTCGTAGGCCATAAAATGACAATTCCAATCAGATAATTATGCTAAGATATGTGGGCAATCGCGATATATGGGTATTATTTCTGTAGAAGAAAGCGTCTTTGTTCTGTTTGCCTAAATTGCATGAGGCTAATCCCAGATCAGCAAGCTGATACTTCTTTAACACCGGTAGATCTAGAAATCGACTTGATTTGTAAAAGAGGCCATGTTCCAACAGAGGCTGAGTTTGTATTGGAAATACATATCTGAGATTTCGTCTTCGGCAGCCTAACATATGTTTCTTTGTTGTGCTTGTGCTACAGACATAATATCGAACAATAGCGGTTTTCCAACTTGCTTTGCTGTCCTTTGAAAGACAATGTGACCAACAAACAAACAAAGAATCCTTCTGTGACGGTTGCGGAAAGAAGCATCTGCCACACAGAATTACAACATAGTTAATGGCCAATCGACGCCGGGATGAACAATTTTGTGTTTGTCGGTGTTCTTTTTGATAGTTTCGCAATGTTACGAAAAGGAGACCCTTTGATACAACTTGTTTGAAACTGATTGTTAGAGTGATTGCCTGATTTACTTGTGATTTCTTTGATTATGACTGTCTTTGCTTTACGATAGCCTTGATTTTTCTATCTGTATTTCTTATATCGTTGAAATTCCTTGTTTTCTAGATCCAAATATGATTCATTTGGTTTCTGGCGTTGTAAGATCCGGAAAAGATGACCACTTTACCCGAATCGAGGCAGCTGAAGGCATTGATGGATCTGTCACGCCAGAGACGAGAAGGAGGCTGCGCACAGTAAGTCTATTTTTGTGTCGATCTACTAATTTGCTTCTTGACAGCATCTGCCTTCTTAGGTTTGGTCTGTGAGCAGCTGAAAATACACCCTTATGTTATCATATTCTAGCTATGACCCATTTGTTATCCTAAAAGGCTTAATCTGTAAGGATAAGTAAAGCGGCTTTGAAAAAAGCAAACATTTAGTAAACTAAAGCTTTTCGTCTGAAACTGTTCAGAGTTTAAAACGTCAGAACATAGACCGAAAACTCTGCGCTAGGAAATATATATACCCAGTTGTGGATCGAAAGAGGCCAATCAGAAACACGAGCACATGACTGTTGAGGTTGACCAATCAATGCCGCTTGCCTATTGAGAATGTTACCAGTGGAGTCCTAAGGTGAAAACGAACTCCTTTTGTCTACACAGTAGCGGTTCTTTTGTCTACATGGTCTATGTTATGACTTTTTAAACTCTGAAGAGTGTCAGACGAAAAGCTTTAGTTTACTAAATGTTTGTGTTTGTGATTTTCAAAGCCATTTTCAAGTTTTGTACTACCAAAAGATTGTTTGATAAGTAAAGCCTTGTTTTTACTAATGAGAGAAAGTTGTGAGTTCTGAAAACGATTCGATTCGCTCAAAGCAGGTTATGAAATTACGAGTCAGGGAAAATCTCAGCGTAAATTGAATTTTAATTTTGATATCACAAATGAAGGAGAACTTCAATTCAGGTTAAGAAAATTTTATTTTGTTACCCTTTTATATCGGTTTTATCTTTTTGGTTTCGGTAGCCCTGTGACACTAGAATCCTTGATCGTCCCCCGTCAAAAAAAGAATTAGTTCATCTGTATGAATATTGCTACGAGTTTAACCTTTTTCATCATTCATGATGGGAAAGATTCGATAATGGCGCAGACAATAGTATATTGTGTTTAATTCCTGTTTACTTGAATCACTGCAATGAATTTAGTTGAAGTGAATTGACATATATTTTTAATAATATGTTTATTAGTGACCTGCACCATAAAATGTTTAATTATAGATGTCATTTTTGAAGAAAAAGAAGAAGTGGCCCCCGGAAAGGTAAGTACAGTAACAGTTTTTTACAACCATTTTGCTCAAAAAGATGCTAACTCCCTTTTAATCGATGCTCAAAGTGGAATCTACTGGAAGCTTTAGTCTATTGTACCAATTCTTATGGCAAGACTTGTAAATGTTACCAAATTGGTTGTCATGTATTTGTATTTGCTACTACATGTCTTCCAAAAGTATTTTGAAGGACACTGGGAAGCTGTGCTGATGGAGCAGTGTCCTGGTCCTTCCTCTCGATGAGACTACAAACGGAATTAGAGGGAATCCTTCGCCTGGGATTAGAGAGAATTTGCGATCCTATGCACTCTTAGCGATAGTTTCGAGAAGCAGAATATCCAACATTGCTGTCAAAGTTTTGCGATTAACCCTCCATTTTTGCCCCTTCATTGTTATCTCTTCATCCATGCAGAAATCTAGCATTTTATTTGCTGACTTTTTATGAGATAGCCGCCTTTTAATTTATTTATTTCCTTCTAGGAACGAATCTGATGACGAAACTGACAAGAAACAGCGCAGACCCAAATCGTCAATTATTCTTCTCACGCCGGAAGCATCAAGAAAATGCAAGGAGCAATCGAAATATTTAACATCCTTTGAAATTTGATTTGATTTTCACTGAATATGACTCAATTTGAATCAGAAGTAGATCCAAGACAGTAGGCCTTGATAAATTCCACCACAGCTTTCTACCAAGCCCATTAACGATATTTGTATTTTACTTTCCACGTTTCTTGAATGCATATATAAAATTTTCACTTGACTTATGAAATGAAAAAAACTGATTTTCGAATTTCTTTCTTCGCTTTCATAATCCATTCTCCAATTTTGAAATTATAAAACTACCTTTCGTAGGTGTGTTTCAGACCTCTTCCGAATTATGCTCCCATTGTCAATACTTGCCCTTTAGCTATCAGCTTTAATGCGCGAAAATTCCTTGTCGGTTGCAAATTCCGAAGCAGGAAGTTCGTAGCAATCGTTCTGTATCCTTGAATAATGATCTTATGTTTACAATGAACATTCTTCACTAAACTTGCCTCCAAGAAACGTATCATGATCGAGGCTTTGCTCTGGGTCTACTTCACTTACATACAGCATAGTTTAATTGGTTACATATAATCTTGCTTGCAGTCTATTAGTTAATCATAATTTTGAAGTTACAACGTCACATATTGCCCATGTATACCCGTCATTAGACAACAGCTGCTGGCAGCTGTAGGAAGTGTTTCGTGAGCTATAATGTAGTTTTTTATTCAATGCAATGTGCAGCCATGCAAAGCCAGCTCACACGATGCCACCAGTGCCTAGATATATTCACGGCACGATAAGATACCACTGCAACCATTACCATACCATATCATACCAAACCATACCTTTACCATACCATACCATACCATACCATACCATACCATACCATACCATACCATACCATACCATACCATACCATACCATACCATACCATACCATACTATTACCATACCATACCATGTCATACCATACCATTACCATACCATATCATACCATATCATACCATACCATGCCATGCCATGCCATGCCATGCCATGCCATGCCATACCATACCATACCATACCATGCCATAACAAACGTAACATGAAATGACGTAACATACTATGATACAGTATAGCATATAATACCGCCCCTATCATACCAACCATGCCATTCCGTAATATAGAATACCATACCATACATACCAGTCAAGTCACATCATACATCATCTCATATCATGTCTTACTTCACAATACCTCTGACCATCAAATAACTGAATGATGTAATTTTCGATTTAACAATACTTAGAAAAGTAAAAAATACTTAAAGTCCCTCATGTTGACAATTTGAAGTTGTTTCAAGCTAGATGTTATTTTTACATACTGAGATGCATTGTCTGCCAGAAAAATTTGAAGAAGTTTTTGTCTAGCAATTGCCGTATAGTATAAACTATCTTTTCTGTAGAGAGTTTTGTATTTATTTTTTGAATAATAGCTGTTTTGTGTATTCAACTGTATTTATATATGCTGCTTGTAAATCGTTGTCGTGTAGTGTTCTCTTTGTAAGTCAGTGGGTTTTTTGCTGCGTACAGCTTTGAGGTATATATTTGAGAAAATATTTTAATAATTACCTAAAAAGGATTTTTCTGGTAAATTTTTCAATTCATTGATTCACAATCTTCCAATTCTCGTGTATTTTGTTGTTGTGTATTTTCTTGGCACATGTGTAGCTGGATAAAGCCCAGTTCCTAAACAGTTTGACCAATTTGATGAGGTCCATAGTTGGCCAGCCATCTCCCTTATATCTGTGGGTTGATTGAATTTATAAAAGACAACCACGTTTTAGGGGTGTGGGTAAATGTTTTTGGGCTAGGATGAAGACTAGCTTACCTTAAAAATCCCAACTTAATATATATTAACCTTCACACACGTAATATCTTCAATAAAACAAGCTACACTGATTGGACAACTCTAGGTGCTTACGTTTCTGATTGGCCTAATTCGATCCACATGTGGTTCTTCGTGCAAAGTTTCTACAATGCCTGCCAAAACTACTTGGAACACCCAGCAATTAACGCTGCATTTGATATCTTTCATTCCTTTCATGAAAAAATTGCTACTTCCGCCCCCTTCCCCCTAAAACAATGTTGATGATTTAGAGAAATATCATAAAAGAAGCGAAAAAGAAAATGCTTCCTGAAATCCTAACCCGTTTGATAGTAAACCAACATTGTTCTGTAGGGAAGAGGGGGATGATTGATTTTGACCTTTAAAATTGATGCAAGTGTTCCAAGACTTTTGGCAGGCATTGTAGCCTATAATTTTAGAATAAACATATATTTTTAGTATTTTTCAAAATGAACGCCATTTTCAAAACAATTTTTCTGAAGAGAAGTCGACGTCGAATTCCCTTGATAAACCCTTGAAAAACCGAATTCCCTTGGAAAATTGCTGTCCAGTATACTGTCCCCTTGAGACAGAACTCCTCGGAGAATGATTGCTTCTTTTCTCAAGACTGCCATTGTAATCATAGTAGCAATTAAATCCCATCTGAATGCATGCCTCTCGCCTATTGTTATTCTCTCCTCTCTGTTCATTTTTGTTCATTTCTGTTCATTTATTCCATATAAAGAAACTGCATTCCTTTAGGCAAAAGGTAAGATCCTCTTGGTACTCTCTGAACATGTCAAGATAATTCTTTTAAAAACTGCTTATAAAAGTCGAGTTTCCCCAAGTAGTAGTTTACATCTTCAAATCAAACAGTATTTCATTTTGGTACCTAGACTTCCTTTTAGTTATCAAATATGAAATTTTCCACTAGCTGAAGTCTTCAACAAAATTTGGTGAGTAAGCAAATAATTACATCGCTTATTTTATAAGCATTATTCTTTTCAGCACTTTCAATGCGCGTGGAATTTTTCTTACATATCGTGCAATGCACGTGTTGTTAATTTTTGTCAAATCTATAGCAACTTTCGTTGTTAAAATTTAAGAAACTTCTGGAGTTTTAGAATAAACTGCAGGTAACAGTGCCGTCGCAATGAAATTCATATGGGGGGCTGCCTATTGTTTGTTCCCATTCGTGTAATGTGCACTGTTATAAAGGAGTTATGGTACAGTTTAGCAATAATTGGGGGGCTGCAGCCCCCCTTCCACTTCTGAAGGCCCTGGGTAAAATCATAGATGTAGAAAGCATTTCAAGGGGAAGAATTAAAGGTGGTCACAAGGCACCTCTGTGAAATGCAGATAGGTACTTTATGTATGTTTCTATAGGGGGGATGTGCCCTGTATCAACCCCCCCCCCCCCAAAAAAGCTATGGATAAAATGTTACTTAACCAAAAGACAGTAAAACTGATAAAAGAGAGGGAAAAGAACTTCTGGCGAAATAGTTTTATTTGACCATGTGAAAAAAAGAAGAATTTTGAAGAAGGCACGGTAATGTTAATAATGTAAATCTGACAAGCGCAGTGCATTTGGCAGGTAATTATTTCTAGCTTTAAGTGATAAATGGAAGGCAAGAATGTTACAAGAATACAAAATTGATTTATGAACAAAATGCAAATGTACAAAAATACATACAATGTATATACATATTTACAGTTTTCCATTCTTATTGTTTACATACCACATATTTTTTCCAAATAGCCAGTATACTTTACCAGTATATTTCAGTTTTCAAGTATTCAAAATTTGAGATTATTTCCATAAATCATAACTAAATGACCAATTTTTTATGTTCCTTTAAAATCCATTTTCTTGTTTTATTGCAAATTTTCGTAAGAGTTTTCGGCAATTGTTGCTTCAGCTCCAATAAAGTCAGTCCATTCATCTGTGCAATACTACGAAGAAATAAAATACGTTTTCATTATTAGGTTTTTGGTTAATTCAATCCTGTATATCTACAGGCTTAAACCAAACTGTATTCAATATTCGTGTAGCATGAAAAATTAAATATTTGAATTATAATGGTTTTTTCAAACACTAAGATGAGCTTACATATGCTTATCAATCCTACTAGTACATATTTAAAGTTTTGGCCTAGTTTTTAAAATAAGTTTTAAATAAAGGGGGCCATTTATTTGGTAGCAATAGATGATTCTGCAATCAACCTAATTTTCTGAATGTTAATTGAATATCCTTTTATAGAAGGTGTATCAGGTTAATTAAATAATATTCTTTATAGAAGGGTTTTGATGATGAATATTTGCTCAGCTTTAGAAAGCAGCAAGAAATCTACGATATACCATTTTTGTCTGTCTTACTTTAACGATACAATATGCTCTGTAATACAACATTCATTAAATTTTCTTGTCGAATATTAAAGAGATATGCATCATGCACTGACCTGGACATCCACATCCACATCCACTGTTGGCTCAAAGCTCATTAGATCAACATCAGTGCTACAGAAAGACTGACTCTGCAACAGAAAGAAAAACTTGAATTAAAATATTTAAGAATGATATTAGTATAACATTGCCTGTATCTAAATATGTGTAAAATTATTAACTTATAGCTGATAAATTTAAGCATACATAACAGCAAATGAAAGTGTAATGTAATGAGTAAATAAATTTAGTGTCAAAATGAAATAGATTGTTTGATACACAGTTTATTGATAAATAAAAACCTTTTGATACCGAGTAAATGCTTGAAACGTGTTTTCAACAGTCAATTTCGTTTTGGTACTCAACTAATTTGATGGATATGCTCGTTATATCAAAGTTAAACGAAATAGTAGATCAAAAATAACTGGAATTGATAACTCAATGTTTTTTAATTAATAATGCTTTCAATCTAGGGCGATAAACCAAAATTTTTAATCAAGATTAAAGAATGGAGAGAATAGGAATCAAGTAAACATTTTACGAAGGTTTATGAAGAGGTAGTCTGTTTGCCAGGCCCAGGCCTATGATCCTTGCAAAATTGTTAGGACACCTTTAGACAATTTTCATAGTTAATTACATCATGTATGTTGCAATAAATGTATTTAGGGGCTGTTCCTCCCTCCTAACACCAATAATGCATGCTTGTCGTTGAAAATCCACTCTGATTGGACGCTTAAACATTTCTAATGAATGTATCAACATTCTACAGAGAGATGGGGGAGAATTTCGTGGCAACTTTGATAACTTTGTGAGGCAGTTGAATTCTGGGGTTGTCGACTTCTGAGCACAAAGAATTGATGTCCCACTTTTTCTACCAAGATACTTTAAATTTTATAGATAATGAGATACTTTAAATCCAGTTGTTTGACCAATTGATCGAAAGCCTTAAAATTGCAATAGTTATCACATCATGCTTTGACAGTGGCTTTTGAACTTGAATGTATTTTTAAATACAGTATTTGTAAAAACATGTAGCTTCAGAAAGATGATATACTTAAATGTGTAAATCTACTGACCTCCATATGCAAGCTCTCAACATTTTCCTGGTTTCTTTTGCATAATTCCAGGCTTGAAAGAAAAAAGTTGAAAAATGACTTTTTAATGAAGTTTTGGGTTCCAACAATGATGTAATTGAACCTAAAATGAAGTGTAGTTTTGGTTTTATGGGACAGATGATACCTTGGTCGGCCTAGGTGACCGACACGGTCTAGACTACATCATTCGACGTTTAATTAGGCTGTTTAATAACTGTATCACCCTTATCAGTTTCTCTTTAACTGATACTCTAAACAGGAATACTTTTGTTCCGATTGCAAGCTCACAAAAAGGTGCACAACCGAGTTGGATATAAGTAGATGACAAAACTGAGATTATAGAAATTAAGTTTACTTTTAACTGATTAATTGATTCGTAATATCGTATTAAAAACCCAATGTCCTTTGCTTGTTATTATAGATATAAAAAAGACGAAACATCTAAACTATTGTTTGTAGCCATACATTTTCAGTACCCGATGAATCTACTACTAACGTTTACATAATATAGAGCAATAAAATTCAGAATGAAATGGGAAAGTATGAGAGTTTTCTAAAGCCTTCTACCTCCAATTCAGGCATACGTCTGATACCATTTAATTTTTACTCACGTCATGTCTAGAGTTTGAATACTCTTGGAAAATTTGTCATTGTTCTTTAGAGACTGAAAATACAGCTTTTCGGCCTAAAATTGCGAAAGATACCTCTTGTTAGTTTAAAAACAATCTTCATTTTAAAAAATGAACACAGTTACTGTGCAGTGTTAATTCTTATAGCATCTTATAACAAATAACATCTAGATAGGTTAGCGGTACCAGGAAATTTGGCACTCTTCAGAGTATAAATCTCGGATGATGCTTAAATAAACGTCGGTTGGACTAAATAGTTCAACTATTTTCTGCCATCCCCTATAATTTAACATATTCAATTTAGCTTACTATATTGATTTGATCTCGACTAACCTCTTTCTTTTCCGTGAAAAGGCGATGATTCCTTTTCTCTAACTCAGCAACCTGTGTAGAGGAATGTTTAAAAAATTGGCTGAATTCTAACGTGTAGATAACTTTGAACTTGTTTTAGTGAACCAAAAGCAACATACACTTGAAGAAGACATACTTACACGTGTAGATAACTTTGTGTAGATAACGTTTAGATAACTTTGAACTTGTTTTAATACTTGAAATAAATACTTAAAGAACATCTTTTAAAGTGGATATCTGCAAACTTCTAACAAAACAGCAAAGCCGGTGACAGAGGCATAGTGACGGAACAGTTTAATGGTCGGCTCTTACCTGTGACTCGAGGCTTCGACTCCTTCGAACCATCAGGTGTTGCCGAGTCTCAAGGCTTTCCATTGAAACCTGATTAAGAAATAATAACCATTTTCTCCTATGATCTTAGTCTTTATGTAATAGAAAAGATTTGAATGAGTTGTTGAGAAATGTAAATGTATTTGAAGACCAGTTCATGCTACTTTATATCAAAGTAAAGAAAATCACAACTGTTATTTGTCTGTCTACTTCACATTGAAAAGGGTTTCATATAGATAGAGTTACGTTAACTAACTTGTGTTGCGGTATTAGAGAGTTTCTAACCTTCTTAATATTAACAACAAAACTAGGTTATCAGATTGTCCAATTTTTAAATTTTCAGCAGTCAAGTCATGCTTCGTTTCTGGTGGTGTTTCAAATCCTGATACATCGATTCGTCTAATACGTCCAGTATTGAGTTTCATCGTGTTGAACTGTTTCATATCCCATACGGCCTACATATAAAAAATCAACTCAATAGAAATTCAATTAACAAACATCATACTTTAGTCTGGAAGAATTGGTTTCGCAGTTCGTCCCTCTCAGCCTTGATTTCTTTATATTTGGCTGCAAATTTCTACAAGATGAATGTAATATTTCATCAGAGAAAATAAATTCATCAACTTATTCTTGTCATGACTAAACTATTTTCAATAAAAAAATGATTAAACTACTTGTTGCCAAGCTTAAAAAATAAATATGTCTTGAAAAATTAAATGCAAATATCTCTTTGACACAAAATTTTAAGTCTTTAAAGCTTAGAAGAGCATTCGTTGAACCAAAATTACATTCTATGTTTGATACACTTCGTGAGAAAATTGTTCATTAATCAGTTTGGTTTCATAGGTCTACTGACTTTTTGAAAAAAACATGGAAAACTTTTCTTCCACAAAATAATATGCCTGCAAAATTTTTTAGTGCAAGTAGCAACTCTTACCTTGAAGTCCACTTCATTATCTTTGATAACTACAAAGAAAATGAAATATATGTTAAGCTTTGTATCATAATTGACCTTATTTCACATAGACTTCTTATTCATAGAAGTTTCTTTATAGAAGATTCAAATTAAAACTAATGTTTAACATGTTGAGAGTTAAAAACACTTGCCTTTTCCTCTTCTCTCTATCTCGTATCCTAATTGTGTTATTTGACAAAAGCACTTCTTCAGCTGAAATTCAAATGTTACTTTGATTAAAAAAATGCTTTCAATATTCCACCTTCAAAGTTAAGAAAACAAACGCAAAACGATTTTTGATAGCATATTTCAATAATATTTCAGATGAATCAAAGATAAAATATATTGTAATCGTTGAATGATGCGTTTACAGTTTTAAATAAGTTATAATCGACAAGTTTTGATTATCAGTAAAGTAAAGTCTATTGCCAACCTTTGCCTCGTATCTATTGTTTTCTAAAATTTTCCATCTCGGTTCATCTAGAAAAGAAATTTTTATTACTTTTTGTTACCCCATTCTTTCTCTCCCGGGACAAATTTATGGTGTCTTGAAGGGTAGGGAGGCAACTGCTTTGGGTTGTTTGCATAAATACTTATTTGTACGAAAGGTTTTTCAACTGTTTTTTTTACAACAACGACTGGTAAAATTTCGCACAAAATTGAAATTACACCCTTATCCTTTCTTTCTTATCCAATTAAGCAAAGTAAGGATAGAGATTGCTGCCATGCTATTCTTTGATTTTCAATAACGGAAAAATGTTAAAAGACTTTATAAAAATGGCACTCAAGCAACTGAAAAGTAAAAAATTTGAATGTGGTATCGAGTAACATGATTACCTCTTGGTCTGTTATCGTTCACTTCATAAACCTAAAAGTGCAAGAAAGGAAGATGAAGCAAAAGATTTACGGCTAAAATTCCAAGACTAAAAGAAATAAATGTAAAAAAACGCTGAATAAATGCAATTCATAAACGATGGTTAGTGAATCCATAAAATCGAGCTTTGTGCTCTTAGAAAATTCTTAAGATTCACTATTATTTATTGATATCAAATAAAAAAAATATCTGTCTTACCGCTAGATTTTTCTTGCATTCAGCCAGCTCTGAAAAATACGAGATGAAGTGAAAGTTAATTTTCATGTTAATTGCTAGAAACAGTTGCCTGGTGATCGCAAAAACGTGAAATTTGGCGTAGCAACTAAAAACCTTCCTGTTCTATAACCAAGAATCGCTACTTCAACGCTAGGTGTAAATTTGAAAACGGTGCTTTGGTAAAGTAGTCTGGATATCAATAAAGAAGAGAAATAAAATTAAACATACCGTCACGAAGCTTGAACATTGCCTCTACATTAAATTTATGACAGCCATCGATCTAAAAAATTTAGAAATATTGACAAACGTAGAGAGAGAACTTAAAATAACAAATTCAACTCAAATGACTGAAAGAATAGAAAAAAGACTATTCTCAATTTGACTTCTCTCTCTCATGCGCTGGTGCTATTTGTATAACTTAGATTAGCTAACAACTCAAAGCATCTCGATTTAAACTGTTTCTTTACATACACATACACGCTTCCGCCAGGTCATCTCTTAATGAATCAGAGATAACTCTTCCTATCAAATAGCACTATGTTATGTGTTTTTTGACCCCGTTCCCCAAAACTTTGAAAAAGGCTAGTTGAATCGAAATGCAGCCTGCAAGCAGTTTTTAAGGGTGTGTCTTTAAACAGCCACCCTGGGTTTATGCCCTCATGACCCCTTTATTGAAAAGCCATCAATGTTTTCCTTTCAAAATTAGAGCGTCGTCCTAAGTCAGTTTTCTGTCATAAAATGTGGTTTAGATGTAGTTTAAAATAATCTTTAGCAAAGTATTGAAGGTAAAGGGTAAACTGATCGATATTTGATATCTTTATAAGTTTTGAGTGTCTCATTGATGAATTCACTGAATGCCCTTAGAACCCTTTCATTGACAATCTATTAATGTTGCTCCCTGTAAAATTGAAGCACTGCAAGCATTCTTAATTGATTTTCAATTACTGTACTTACCATGCCAAGCTCTGACTTGAGGGCCTCCTTCTCTCCTTCAGCCTCGTTTAAGCTAGCTTCATATTCCAACCTTTCCTTTGCCAATACTTTTTCTAAACTGATGCATTTCTGAAGCAACTCTTTCTTCTCCATAGAAAACACCTCAGCAGCTGAATTAAAGTCAGCAAACATTTCTCCATTCTTTTTTCTGAAACTATCGACTTCGAACTTAGCAAAATTATACTGGCTCTCCATTTGTCTTAAATCCTTTTTTGTGCTTCGAACTTCACTGTTAAGTGCCTCGTTTTCTTCTTTAATTTTTCTTAGGCTTCCGAGTTGAGATTTTAAATGGTCAATTTCTATTGCAAGGTCTGCCTTCCGTAGATTCAAAGAGGAAATTGTGCTACGTTGCTCTATGACCACTTCTTGGTTCATTTTATAATCACTTTTGAGCTGATCAAATCTGATTTTGTAATCAGATATCTCTGACTTCAAACACTCATTCTCTTCGTGTGCCTCTAAGTATTTGAACTCTTCGTTTTCTAGCTTTTCTTGTAACTCAAGAACGTCTTCTGCTAGCTTCATCTTCTCTGCATCTTTCTCTCTGATGATTTCTCCCAAAAATAAAGTCTCCTCCTGTAACCCTTTTACATCATCTTGTCGTCTATTCTGGTGCAATTCTAAATCATCAAGCTTGATTGCTTTTTCTAGCAGACCTTCATTTTCTTTTTCAAGAAGACCAAGCACCACTTCACATTCACTTTTCTCTTGCACAAGTTGATCAGCATGTGAGCGAAGTCTCTCGTTCTCTGCCATCAAAGTGCTGTTTCTTTCACTCAGCAGTTCGATCTCACTTTCCTTCTCTACTTGCCAGTCCAGATTCTTTCTCACGATGCCACGCTCACTAGATAGCTTCTGAAGCCTTTTTTTAAGGTCAGAGGTCTCCCGTTCAGTGAACGCTAATCTAGATACGTCGCTTTGCAGTTCGTTGTTCTTTGCCAACACAGCATCGTGTCTGGTTTTCAGCTCGTTGTATTGAATGTTTTGCTCTGCAATAATTTTCTTAGCACGCTGCTGCTCCTTAAGCAAAATGCCGATGAAATCTTTCACATTTACTGCCTGTGAGCCAACTTCTGAACTGCATTGGTCTGAGCCTATTCCATTTTGTCTAAGATCTTCCTTCAAAGGGCTCCACTCAGAAGATTTTGACCTCACAAGATCTTCAACCTCAGACCATTCATTGGCCTTCTTAGCAACTAATTCTAGATTTAACTTTGGATCTTCACAGATTGAATTAGCTTGCAAAAGTTTCTCTTTCATAGAATTCGATTCAATTTTGGCCAGAATATCATTTGCATCTTGAGATTTTTTACTCTCAACCAACTTTAATGCTTTCATCCTATCTTCATTGTGCCTTTCCATTTCTTCCCTTATTCGTTCGCATTCAACCTCCAGACGAAAAATATACCCCTTGTCTCTTTCCCTGTATGAGACTAACGTTTCGAGCAGTTGATTCAGATAAACAATTTTTTGGGACAATTCTTCATTCTTTGCAGCAAAGACTTTGTTTTCGATCATTACTCTCTCTTTCTTTATTCTCTGCTTATTTGCTAGTCTTATGCACAACCTAAGTCGGCTCAGCTCATCTTCCAAGTCCTTACAACTCTGTTCCATGGCGTCAAGATTTTTAAGTTTCTCTTTTGCCTTGGTGCAATAGATCCTGAGCTCCTCAAATTCAGAAAGAGTTGAGATGTTTTCAACTTTAATTAACAAACTGCCCTGTTGTGACTTTTCACGACCTTTAACAGCACTGCCAATGTTTGATGATTCTATCTCATTACTACAAACAGCAATGTCTTCCTTAGTTGACTTCATTCTCTCGCATTCTCTTTTTGATCTAAAACCTTAGTTAATGAGAAAACGATAAGATTATACTTGCGAAAAGGGATATTGAACGAACAACTAAAGCAACACAATTATCATTAAAAGCAAAAAACCTTAGTATCTACATTAAGATTGGTTTCTATTACAGAATAAATAAACATAAATTACATTGAATTAAAAAAGTATAACATTCTTGAAATGAAAGCTTACCAATATCATCTGAAACAAGATTTGTAGAATCATTCTCAATCTGATCAATTGGCCGAATTGGCGATAGGGTCTCGAATTTAGCGGTGGCTGTTGGCTCTTTTGTGTTTGGCACGATGTTACTGACCATTGAAGATGTCACTTTGGCAGGGAGGATCTCTGGTTGATGATGGGAGACGGCGGTCTCCGATTCCACTGAAGATGGGGATTCTGCAAAAACAAAAACATTTCACAAACAAAAGGTCTTATAAACTCTAAAAGCAGACAATTTTAAGCAACAAAGATTTCAATAGAAAATGATATCACAACATACCAGTAGAAGATTCATTAAAGGTGACAACTTTGTCATTGGAACAAAATGCTGGTGAAAGTTGGTTCAACTGAGCCATGGGCTGATCTGGTGATGGGGTGTCAAACTCAGCGGTGGCTGTTGGCTCTTCTGGGTATGGCACGATGTTATTGACCATTGAAGATGTCACTTTGGCAGGGAGGATCGCTGGTTGATGATGGGAGACGGCGGTCTCCAATTCCACTGAAGATGGGGATTCTGCAAAAACAAAAACATTTCAAAAACAAAAGGTCTTATAAACTCTAAAAGCAGACAATTTTAAGCAAAAAAGAGTTCAATAGAAAATGATATCACAACATACCAGTAGAAGATTCATTAAAGGTGACAACTTTGTCATTGGAACAAAATGCTGGTGAAGGTTGGTTCAACTGAGCCATGGGCTGATCTGGTGATGGGGTGTCAAACTCAGCGGTGACTGTTGGCTCTTCTGGGTATGGCACGATGTTATTGACCATTGAAGGTGTCACTTTGGCAGGGAGGATCTCTGGTTGATGATGGGAGACGGCGGTTTCCGATTCCACTGAAGATAGGGATTCTGGTTGAGAAATGGAGATTCATTAAGATAAAACAAAGAAATTTTATCAACAGAAAGTCTTCTCTTAACTCGGAAAGGAAAGAAAATTTGAGAAGTAAACAATTGGTATAAATTGATGTGAAAACATACCAATGGAACATTCACTAAAACTGACAACTATGTCATTGGAACCAAGTTCTGGTACATCTTTGTTCAACTGAGCCATGGGCTGATCTGGTGATAGGGTGTCGATATCAGCGGTTGCTGTTGGCTCTTTTGTGTTTGGCACGATGTTATTGACCATTGAAAATGTCACTTTGGCAGGGAGGATCGCTGGTTGATGATGGGAGACGGCGGTCTCCGATTCCACTGAAGATAGGGATTCTGGTTGAGAAATGGAGATTCATCAAGATAAAACAAAGAAATTTTATCAACAGAAAGTCTTCTTAACTCGGAAAGGAAAAACAATTTCAGAAATAAACAACTGGTATAAATTGATTTGAAAACATACCAATGG